GTGAAATTACGCTCAACTTTTTTTTTTATAAAACTCTAAAACAAAATGTATACCTATAGAATATATTATTGTATTCAATTTTCAAATCTAAAGTAGGTATTTATATGAATATTAATTTTTATAAAATTTTATAATATTAAGTAATTTTGATGAATTTGAACTAATTTTAAGAAGTTATAAAAATGGTTTTGACTATGCATGTTAAATATTTTTGTTGATAAATATTTATTTTATTAAATAAATTACTTGTGATAAAACTTATTAAATTATATTTTTAATTTTTTTTACCTAAAAATTAAAACTAAAACTAATAATAAACAATAAAATATTAAAAATATTAAATACCTATAAAAGTACTAAAATGTTTTAAAAATTATTTTATGCCAAGTGTTGAATACTTATATGAGTATTCCGTCAATATTTCATGTAACTACAATTATTCATATTTTAGTTGAAACAAAAAACAATATCAATTTTGTCGAACTTGTTTTTCGTAAAAATTTTATTATATTGTAGTTTTTCTAGATTATTATGAAAATTACAAGTAATTTTTTACTTTATACCAGCCTGAGGAGGTACCAACTAGATCCAATTTACTACCAGAAATCATCATAAAAGTTAAAAATCTAAGTATTCTGATCTAAAGAGTGGTGATAGATATAAAAAATAAGTGGGTAACGCTCTGCAGTATATTAAGTGTCGACTGGATTACTATTATGGGTGTGCTAAATTTAAATTCAATGATATATCACTGAACACAAAAACGATTCTGAACGGAGACGATCTGTCAGAGTTTCAACCTAATTCACTAAGTATATTTCGTGATATGCTTTTTTGATGTAGCTATAAAGTCATTTATTTTAATTTTAGTATTAAAGTAGATTTTTATAATTTTTCAAATATGTTGTATTTGTTTTATTATTAGTATTTAATTATTACAATAATATGTATTTATACTATATAACCTTAAACCAATTTATATAACTCAAAATGCTATAACATCTTTCTGAAAAGACTGTATAAGAGAAAACATAAGAGCATACTAGCTAATATCTTAAAATAAATCAAAAATGTAATTGCGTATAGCAAAATTCATAATAATAATAATAATATAATATACGTAAAAGTAAGTCCCCGCGAATAATGTTTTTGATTTAAAACAAAATAATTAATATATTCATTGTTAAAATACATAATATTATTCAAATTCGAACTTTTTCAAGTGGTTATAAAAATAGTTGTCAAAATAAATAAATACATTTTGACTAAAACTGTTTCCATGAGAAAATTCTTGTTTTTCCCGATTACATATAAAAAAAAAAAAAGGAATAGGAATTGTAATGACAGATAGAAAAAACACATCATTATAAAATTAATATATTCATCGCTACCGCTCAGAATTTAAAATAAAAAGTAATATTTACAAATAGATTTTTATCGTAAATGAGTAATACCTGTTAACTGTACTTTTATTTAAAGACTCGGGGCTCCTTGAACATTACTAGACAAGATACATTTAGGTACATATATACATGGAAAATAGTAAACAGAGCTGCTATTATATAGTACAACTCTATGTTAGCGAAGTTTTTCCCAAATTAAAAAATGTCGACCTCAATAGTGTTTGACACTATTAAACTAAAAAACATGAGCATGTCTGATACTCCGCAATGTTGTTGACTGTATACTTAGAACGATATTGGATTATAATATTACATTTATAAATCATAGAAATAGGGATTATGATTTCAAATAAGGTTTAAGGTTTTCAATAATAAAGTAAAATTAATATAGATTATTAATTTTGAATTCCAACGACGGATGTTAATAAATTGGCCACGGTCGACGCCAAAAGAGAAAAAAAAATAAACACATTCCCACACATAGAACATAATTATATCCATAATGTATATTATTATACCTGGCATGGTAAGTATTTCGGTAAAGCCTTATAATTATGCACAACCGGCACTACGGATTCAGTTGATTAAACATAGCGCATGGTGTCTGTAGGATGTTTTATTATTTTCTAGCAGGCAGCAGCTATATTAGACCGTCCTTGGGAAGTCATTGGTGCAGATAAAACGTTAAGTATGTACCCACGTATTTAGGTATATCTATATCTATTATCTTGTTATTAACGCCTGTAGGTACTACTGCACAACTAAATTTTTTAATCTTCATGAATTTAGTTTATTTTTAATTTCTATATAGGCGGTATTACACAAATGTATTGGTTGCAAGCAGCGCAGCTTGCGATATGAGATTTGTTCATACATTTTTCTCGTTTTAGTTATTATCAAAAAATTAACTAATTAAGAAAAACGTTGTAGTACTTATAATAGTAATAATTAATAATGACTAAAATATATTTTAATGTTCCGTGATTTTGCTTTTTAGTTCATCGCTTAATTATTATTACTTATTAGATTACATGTATCTAATTTTATATATTTTACATGTATATTACAGGTGTGTTTCATTCCGTTTTAAATGGTAAAATACTTATTTATACCTAGCATATCAATGCGAGAATTGATGAACTGAAAAATAATTTTAAGCTACGTGATAAAGTCGCATCACAATGATCTGACATATTCGAATGTAATTTTAAAATAAAATTGTCATATTTCTATGATATACCATGTATATCCACACAGATAATCAATCATAATTCATAATAATATAATTTAGATAGAAAATGTCATTCAAATTGCCTATATCAAACTCCGGTAGACGTGTAAGTACGTCCTCTTAATATATTATTAACAATTATTATTTATTAGTTACAACTTATTATAGTGATTATAGAGATAGGATGTCGATAAATCATTAAAAATAATAATACTAACATATGAATAGATGCAAACACGTGATAATTAAGTAACTATAATTTTAATACTTACGTCTTGCAGCAAGTAATTATTTTTTTGTATTCATTGTTATATTTGTACTGAAAGAGTGCTCCAAAAGTTTCAGTCAGTATTGATCGAAAAATTGTAGTTTAAATGTAATTTTCTTAGTATCTATCCTAATATTAACTATAACTATGACTTAAGTTAAACAGATTATACATGAGAAAATGCTTCACATGAAATGTATTCAATTAAACAAACCACATGATTTCACTGTAAAATTTTGTAAGGATAACGATTATAAAACAGATACCTACATCTATTTATTCCTTAAATATATTATAATTCAAAGTAATACAAATTCGTTAGTTATCGTGTATCTATTATCATAAAATATTATTGTCTCGGATTATGAACTCTCGTCTAGATGAAAATTAGGTAATAGGTAATAACCAACTAAAAATGATCTATCAAGTAAATCTGTTATCGTAGTTTTTTTAACAACCATCGATTATTGAGAATTTGAATTATCGATATCATTGTGTTGTTTCCATGCTGGTGCGATTATTAATACTGGCGCCAACATGGGCGTCTCCGGAGAAGGAGTCAAGACAGAGCACTTGCTTCCCCTAGAATTTTGGATCTTTTAATTTTCACCTAATTGTAATAATTTAATGTGTAATATTGACAAAACATAATAATATTCTATAATTAAAATGTATAAAATACCTATGTAATTATAATAATGTACTATAAATAAAATGCATAAAAAAATCTTCATTTATTTTTTGAATTAATTTCTCTCCCTTCCTAGAAAAATGTCTAGAACACCCAACAATAGATGCCAACAATTATCATCACAAAATCTCTCCATTTCTCTCTTTCATATGCATCGTCAAAGTGAAGTCTTCTTTTATATTTTTGATTTTTCGACCTAAAACATACATCTATTGAGTCTTTGATCTTCTACTATTATGTGATCTATGTTTGGGCTTCTTCTTGCTACCATTAAATATTTCAAAGAATATTTTTTTTTTGATACGATCGTATTGGTGGGATAAGCAGAAATATTATTTTTAATTATTAGGTAAAAAAATATATAATATGGACTTTAGGCCAGTTTTATTTTTTATTTTAAAACATTGTGCAACACTGTTTCTGTCAACGCCATTACCAATTACCATCGACCTCATTACTATTGACACACATTTTTTATAAAAATTAATTATTTTCTTTCTTATATATTTAAACATATACATATATATATATATTATTACTTTTGATCAATTTTCTATTTATTATAGTATTTCCTTTAGCTAACAAACACTACTTTTTGCCCCCATACCTCAATAGTAATTTATTTTTCAACACCTAGTATTTGATATAAGTATTTCATTTTAGAAAAAATTTATTTACATTAACTAATGATGAATTAATGCCTTCTTAAGGATCATATAATATAATAGCTCATTGTTATAAGTTTATGATGATTTAAAAATTTATCAAGTATAATAAATACTAAGCAAAACTTTAGAATTATTTTTTATTTTAGATAAAACCACTATTTACATAATATGATTAGTACTAATTAGTGGTAAATATTGTATATTATTTGAAAAAAGAATTCTTTAGCATCAAAAATTATTCCTTGAATAGTAAAAAAAAAACAAGTATTTTAAATTATAGTGTTTTACTTTCAAGTATTTTTTAAAAATTCCAAAGATCACAATTTAAATAACAATCATTATTAAAGGATAAAAGAGAGTTTGAATGAATGGCAAGTCATTCTGTGCATGAATTAATTTTTTATTCGCCCACCACTCATATTAAAGCAAGCCCAATTTGTTCCTATTTTACAGTTACAAAGTTATATATTCACAAAAGTAAATAACCATTGTTAACATAATCTGGCTTATATCAATGTATCCTATGGTTGTTTTATATTATACATATTCAACAGACCATACAAATACATATTAACACATACTGAAATAATATATATTAATCAGTAATACTAAACTATATTATATCATTCAATAATATGTTTTAATTATTATTTTTATAAAATAGAAAAAAATACATAAAATACTTAGTAAAATATGTTTTATTTATTTTATTGTGAAAATATTTGTTTAACTATGTTAAAAATTAACATATTTAAATCATAATTTGAATAAAATGTATGTTTTAAATTACAGTAACAAATTAGACAGTAAACACCATAAATAATTAAAAAAGAATAATAACATATTTTATTGATTTAACATTATAATTAACTAAATAGCAGCTCACGTTCCAATTGTTTAGGATCTACAGATCCTTGGATAGGTTTACATTGAGGATTAAACACAGAGTATGCACTTAAAGTATCAGGTTTTTTTTTTAAATTTGAAGTATTATAATAAATAGCAATAAGAGCAGAAACAGCAAAAAATACTGCTCCAAAACCAGCTACAGCAATCATCCAGTACTGAACAGCGGCCCAACATAAAAATATAATGATATAGTATAGTTTTTGATTGCTTGTTGGTGATAAAGGTGCATTGTTTACTGTAGAATCTTCAAAATCAGAATCATCAGAATCTGATAAGTCATTGTTGATTGTACATGTCAATAAAACTTTATTACGTTGTACTGTAGGTATTATTTCAGGAACTAGAGTGTCTTGGAACAAAATTTTTTTTCTGTCATTTTTTGGAGAAATGAGTGTAGCAGGTGGTTGAATCTATAAAAAGGGGGATATTATCATATATAATTTTAAACAACATTATTAAGAATCTTAAAATACTAAAACAAACTATACTGAGAAATCTCTTAAAAGGAAATCAAACCTATAATCATTGTCTTTGTATTATAAGTACGTAACATAACAAGTTTATACTCAGAAATTTACCTTTATCTTTGTTGGTTTTAATATTAAATTGAACATTATAATGCGTTAATGTCAACACAATATTTATTTTCACTTTTAGACCCACGTAGAACATAGACAAAACTTATTCATTTAATCCTTTTTTTTTTTTTTTAATAATTTTATTCCATTTATCACAAAAATAATAAAGAATAATACTTTGAGGGTTTGATATAACTGACGGTTGTATATTTTAATATTATTTGACTTACAAAATAAAAATAAAAATTTGTAAATTTAAATTATTTTGAGACAATATTTAAACAAATTAAAATATCAAAACAACTTAAGTATTATTTTCAATAATTTTTGTAATGGATGTTTTTAATCTATTATTAGTGAAAAACATGAAAACATTTTTTTCATAAATATGTTTTGTCGATGTTTGTCAGAGTTTTAACAAATATTGTACCTACATTTTTTTAAAGTAGTTTTAGTCTTTAGATAGTTTAAAAATATGTTTTATTTTTAAATAGTTTCTAAAAATAGTTCATATTTTTGATTAAATGTGGTTTATCTACTTAAAAATGAGTATCAAGCACATAATTTAATAAAATGTAATTAATAAATTGATAGTACAGCAGAGTGTCGATTATCCACAGATCAATTATCTGACCTGTCAACTATCTGTACTACACATTATTTATACAAATTTATTTTTAGTTAAATTTAATTTAGTTTAATCATTTATTATGTACGTAAATGTGATCAAGTACACAGTTTACATGTTTTAATTGAAATAAGTTCTAAAAGAAAACATTATGTGTTAAATAGTGAAACAAAAATTGAAATAATAGAAAAACTTCGATTAATATTACATACATACGTTTAATAATATATCAATACTAAAATATGAATAATGAATAATATTTTCAAAATTTTTACAAATTTTTTAACTTTATGTTTAATCGTTATTTGATTATACACACTCTCTCAGTCCTAATTACTGTAGATAATTAACGCTTTATTATATATATAATATTAAAATTAAAATAATTTCACTTTTAAAAATTAAATTAGTTACTTACAACTTATAAGTTATCATTAAATAATATAATATTAATAGTATGATATAATAATAAATGTTAATTTTTGATGTATAAAATAATAATAAAATTATATTATTAGGTTTTAATTAGTATGTTTTATTTATAAGTTATAAGTTTACAACCAAAACAAAATTATGTATCATAGGATAATAATTAAAGTTATTCTATCTCTGGTAAAGTATATCAGTGATAGATAAATACAATATGGAAGAATATTTGAGAATTTTAATGTTAATAATACTAGACAAGACACTTAATCATATAGAGCAGCGTTTCCCAAACTTGTCTGAGCTGGCCCTGTAAATAATATTTTCCTCCTTTGTGACCCACCAAAATATTTTACATTTATCATTGTGTAAAAAAAAGGTAAAATAAAACACATTTGAATATCTGCATACAATTTTATAATATAATTGAAGTGTAATTAAACTAATCGTATTAGTTAACTCCTATCAGTGAGAAGTATGAAGCTGATTATTTTTAACTTGGAATTCTAAGATTGCTAGACAGGATGTTAGTTTTATTCTTAGGTCAGGTTTGATTTCCAACCAATTTTTGTATTTATTCTTCAAGACATAAGTGATAAAAATCCTGTTTTACACTTACGAGTATAGGTTGTGACAAAAGGCATGAGAAATGTTATCGCTTGTTCTGTCAAAACTAGGTACTCTTGACAAAAAGATAACCAAAAATTTATAAATAGCCGTTATTCTTTAAATGTGTCAGAGTGAATTTATAGATAGTTTATAAATTTATAGATGGGTATTTTATAAAGTCTAATTGATAATCTCAATAATTATTATTTATGTTATAAATATTTGTTAATATTTTTACTAAAAAGTTCAAATTAACTAAAAAAAAAAGATAAATAACAAAATTGAAAATAAGAATTTTATTAATTCTGCGACCCGGTATTATATTTTCATGGTCCAGTAGTGGGTCGGGACTCACTATTTGGGAAACGCTGATATAGTGTACAATTTTATAAGATAAAATATTAAAATTTTAATGTAATATTTTTTACTTTGTCAATAACTTGTAGCAATACATGGAGTAAGTAATAAAAAGAGACCAATTTAGTACACAAATATGAAGCAGGGCCAAATAATTATCATGATAAACTATGGTAAGTAATCAAAAATAGTTATATATTTATGGTTGGACTTTATGATAATATAAAAAAAATGTAAGATGATACAAGTGTCTACAATATATATATATATATATATATGAATATTATAAAAATAATATATAAAGACACACAATTACAACACATTACTTGTTTATATTACAATTATTGCTAGTTAGTATTTTATTCTACTGGATATTTAGTATTTTATTTACTACTAATTTAGTTTAAAAAAAACTTTAAAAAATAAAATAAGTAAGTTAATTTTGATTTGATATTTTATATTATATCTTTTGATATAAAGTCTTGTCATTGAAATTTAAATATTTTATGTATACTTACTGGAACATGCTCATTTATATCATTGGAGAGTTTCTGTTCTTTACATTGTAAACTTGCTCCTGGAGAAAGTGGTTTGAGCACCATTCGTCTTCTACTACTCATAACTATTGTTTCAGTTTCCATCACATTAAAATACCATTTAGATATTGATTGTTTTTATGTGATAGTTGTACAATATTTGTATCAACCCTCTTCATCTACAATAAATAATTTAAAAATATAATTCTCTAATATAAGAATTATAATATGCTTAATTTTAAAACGATAAATCAACTATACTCTGTCCAACCAAAGAACACATTGGTTCTGTGCAAGTATACTGTGATACATAGTGCTTAACGAGATTTCATTTCCCCCTTCAAATAACCTGGTTGCTGCAGTGACTAGAGTTCAACAAAGCTAATTAATACATTTATTAATGGGGAAATCTTGGTGGGAATGGTATGATTAAATGACATGTGAGAATGGTCTGAGTGAATCAATTTTTTGTTGCAGTTCTTTCACTTGACAAATTATAGTTTTGTACAGTCGAGGCTTTCTAGATGTCACAATTAAAGCTCTGATATATTTTAAAATAGTAAATAAAACATACTAAGTACTTATTTAGGGATTAAATTAAAAATCATGTAAATTTTACGCTATTGATTATATAGAAAAACAATTTTTAAATGTGCTCTGATTAAAAAATACATATTTTATTTTATCACAATCTATAATAGAATATAGAATAGAGGTATAGAAAGAAACTGCACAAACTTATACTAACTACTAAAATAATCAATTTTTAAGAAATAGTTCAACTAAAATAAATCATGAGTCTGTTTGCTGATCTATTACTATAAAATTTAAAAGCTATTTAGTACAAAATAGAGTAATTAACCTGTTATCAGGTGTAATAAATGATCTACAAATAAAAAATCAAATTTTTATTGTCTTACCGACAATATTAAAACAAATGGACAAAAAACTAAAAAATGATAATAAGCTAAATTAAAATATTCAATATTATGACATTGTTCTCAGACTTAATGCAGATAATGGCTGAAATACACTATTAAATCTAAAGTGAGCACTAATATGTTGAATAGCTCCAATCGACAAAAAGTTGCAAAGAAAAACGATCGAAAATGGTTAAACTTGGGATATTACAAACCCTCTATCTCGATAATAATTTTTAATATTCAAATGCAATTCAACCTTGAAATCGATGTTAGCATTTATTTACTTAAACATCAAGCTTACCAGTGTATGCAGTATAACGCCCAACAAACCGCCTACGGGTAAAAACACGACAAAAATTCAATAAGTAGCGAGTTAGTAACGAAACGGACACGGTCTTGAGCGTTTAAAACGCAATGTTCGGGAACGGTACGGAAACAATTTTTGCTAATTACGGCCGTCAATGGCAATAAAAAAAATATACGGGCAAAAATTTATAATTGTTATTCTATTATTATTGAGCACTAACAACTAATAACTAAAAATACGACAAATTAATTAATTAACTCATAAGAACAGGTGTCACGTTGGTTGCAGATCATTAACACATAAAAAGTTACGACTTACAACTTAAAAGTAACAGCATACAAATTTTTTTTTTATCAATAACTTTGATTATTGTGATAACTAGTAATTGGTATTTGGGTTTTTGATTATCTGAACCATATGGTAACAACGTTAATACGTCGCTACTCCCTATAATAGGTAAATTTTTAATGTTTTTATTAAATATGTTATCATCGAGCATAATATTATCATATTATTATTCATACATTTAGTACATTATACTCAATGCTATTATTTACGTGACGAAGTACTAACTCCCAATTATTATATTACGTTTTCCAAACACTAATACTGTTTTCGCATATTTTTATTACTTTTTGGATACCTTTATGATTCATTGTTGTATACTTTAATATCTGTTGACTAATAGCCCAATACAGAATTGCGTTAACATTATTCCTTCCGTATTAAGTTATGTTAATATAACATAATTTTATGTAAATATATCGGTATTAAGTTCCCATAAATTTTTTTTCTATTGGTAGTTAGTACCTATATACCTACTATTTATAAAATTGATGATTTGATGTATATTTATTGACTAATTGTTAATAATTAACAGAGGAAATAGATATCCAAAAAAACAAAAAAAAACTATTAACCATAATAATAGCCTACATTGGATCCCTAAGTTATGACTCTTAATCACAAGAAATTCAGTTACAAAGAACCAAACTCTAAATGAAATAGTTTTTGTTTAGCATATTCAGAAATTAGAACTTTAAAAATTAATACTTAAAATTGTCTGAAATTGTTCTCAGCATTATAAATTATATAAATACAATTCTATTGAACAGGTACTAAAGATAGATAACTATTAGTAGATATTAATGAATTATAATAAATTTCATAAATAGCAAGGTACTTCCCTAACAATGTGCATTATTAGTAGAGCTTGGATTACACATGTATTAGAATATTTTTACTAGTTGGTAGGAGCTTATCTACTATATAGTGGATATTAATTAATAATTGTTAAGCAAACAATTTGTTATATGAAGTAATAACGAGATTATTGAAATTGAAAATATGTATTCTGTCATATCATGTTTGGTATTTTAAGGGCATATTCCACTATTTTATAACCAAAGTAAAAATGTATGTACAACTATTATCAAACTAAAAGTAAAGGTTTTAATAAAAACTGCCAATTACTTAAGAGATATAAAAAAAGATTATTCAAAGTTTTTTTTAAGTCTACTGAATAAAAACAATCTCTCTTTAAATTATTATTATTATTTGCCCTTTAATTATTATACCCACTATTTTATTTTAGAATTTACTATAATAAATGCAAAATAAGCATATGATAATACATGAAATAATTTAAAACCAAATATATATTATTTACTTAAATATGGTTTTTAGGAACATATTTTACTGTTTATTACATTAAGTATAAACAAATAGTTCATGATTTTTAATGCATGTACATAAATCTGAGCCAAGAGAAATGTCCAAATATCATACGCGAAGGTGAGATTAATATTTATTAGATATTAGATCACTTATAGGTAAATAAATATAACCTTTTCCAATTATTTGACAATACCAACTGTATTTTTTAAGAATCATCATAACCATTTCTTTATTTAGACCAAAGAAGTTTCTATTAAAATAGTTTATACTGTCCAAAATCCAAATATTATATAAATAATTTATTAATTTTCCTATTACCCAATATTCATTTAGTTTGTTCAACATGGATATTAGCAAAAGAAAATAATGTTCAAGTTTAATTTAAATACCTACATGATTAATTAATACAACTAATAAGTAATAATTAACACAAATATTTGCCTAAACAAACTTAAATTACAAATGCACAATTATTGTAAGTCTTATAATTGTAAACCTGTGCAGGAAAAAATTTTGTAAAAAAATAATATTAGTTTTGAAATTTTTTTTTTTCAAAAAAAGTTAATTTAATATTACAATGTAAACAATTTAAAAACAGTAAAATACAATTTTAATCAATTATTAGTTTAGAAAAAAAATATTAAACCACGTATTTTTATAAAACATGTTTTTAACTTAAAATTTTCTTCACAGATATGATTTAAAAAATATATTTAAAACACAACAAACGTAAACCTCATTAAAACGAGTCTATATCCATTTTAGGTTAAGAAACACACTCAAACTAATTTAACATACTCTTCCTAATTTGAATAGTGTAGATACTCTAAATAAATAGTTTAACAGTTATTTTCACCAAAATAAATTTGAATAAGTTAAAAAAAAAAACCTATACCAATACAAATATAATTAAAATAGATAATATATTCTAATACCTTATATTCTAAGGTTTATAACTTATGAATTAAATATCACACCAGAATTAATTACTTTATATATTCTCATACAAATAATTTAAAAATAAATACATTTTTTTCTTTTTTTTAAGTTGAGTATCTTTACATTGAAAGAGACATTTGTTATTCTTACTTTTCAACAATATAAGTATATTATGAAAATACAAATTACATACACGCTTTAAAATAATATTATTAATACACATAATTTCATTTTTTTTTTTTAAAGTAGATTGATATTATGAAAGGATACATTTTTTACCTCTTTAGTTTTTGAACTTTTTTTCTTCAGACTTTTTCGTTTCAATTTATTATTTTTTTACTACATATTTATTATTATATTATAAATATTTTTGTGAGGATTTCTTAAGTTAAATTCAGCAATTATAAATATTAAATTTATGGCAGATTAAGCTATAAAATAAATTTACTGAACTTGCATTACATTTTATGTAAAAAATATTAACATTTAATATCTATATTAATTTAAATAACATAATGAAACTATTCTTTATATATTCTAGTCTTTGTCATTTTCATGAATATTTTTCAATTTAAGACAATAAAATATCTAATTAAATAAATATAAAAATATTCGGTACAATTGCTTATTAACATCATAATTCTGTATCTTTCATAAATAATTAAAAGCGGTAAAATAGTAGAAAATTAGTTTCTGCCTCACAAGGATCAAAAGTACAAGAAATTGAAATATGTATAGAAGTAAAAATTAAACACTAAATTTATTAGGAGTCGCATACTAAGTATGCTATACTTGATTAGTTGAATAGGGTGTATTCCTAAGAAACATATAAATGGTATTTTTTCATGAATTAAATTATTGAGAAAGATTTTTCTATTGATACTTTGAAACATATACACATATTCTAAACAACTATATCTATGAATATAAATAAAACATCTGGTTAAATATTTTATACTATGAATTATCTATAAATTTGTTATTGTGTTATAAAAATATAATATTTATACTAAATGTATAAAATATGCATATAATTTGTGCAGAATCTAATTTTTTTCTGATTAATAGGATAATGGAATTTTTAAGTTAACTTAACTTCCAAACGAATCTCAGTACACCTTATTAATATGCAAGTGAATAAAATTATTGATAATGAATTATTGATAGAGGGAAACAAGAAATTGTATTTGCTCTAACCCAGATTTGAAGTGTAGATTAATATCTATAGTGATTTGGTTTAAACGGACCATTTTTTGGTAATCCCATATACTTGGCTTGTTCATCACTAAGTTCTGTAAGATGAGCATCAAATGCAGTCAAATGAAGACTTGCTACATACTCATCCAAAACAAATGATAATTTTGAAAAAATGTTTAATAAAAAAAAATAAATAAATATTATTAAATGATAATATACCCATTTTTTTTGGCAATAAATATACATCACTCTTGTAACGACCAATTGGAGCATTAAATAATTCCATCAACGCTAATATCTTGAAAAAAAATTTTTTTAATTAAAATGCATAATATGAACAACGAAAACTATTTAAATTTAAAATTTACCTGGGTTGTACCAGTAATGGAAGTGACAAATGATGGAATGCTAGAACATGTATAATTTACATGATGACCGCCAGCAAGTAAAATCATGGTTTTTCCATCAGGCCAACGGATGTGATCTACTTGTGAACGAACTTTTTCCCATTTTAGCTCTGGTGTACGTAATGCAGCCTTTATAGGAAATAAAAATAAATCAATATAATTATTATTCAAGTTCAAAATTTAAAAACTTATATTATGTAGATTACCTATATTATATTTATAAATATCTAATAATAACACAGAGTATATATAATTACTACAGTTACAGAGTATAATTACATAATTTCAAAACTATATTTCTGATAAACAGAAATATTAAAATAGTAAAAACAAATATTACTACTTTTAATATTAAATTATAAATAAATAATAAATATGATATTTAAATTTTTTAATTCAAAAATTTGTGGTTTGTAAATATTTTTTATTCGATAAACATATATATTTATAAAGCTAATAAAATATTAAATAAGATAAAATAAATTAGCCAGATTTTAAAAATATTAAGGTCTAAAAAGAAAAAGCAATTCAATGATGGAACTTAGCGATATGGAGTGAAGAGGGTAAAAATATCAGTAAGTCACAAAACTAAGTTTATTTTAAACTCTATCTAGGGTCACTGGGAATAGTGGGAATGAATAGTTCCGAGATTAAGAAGTTGGTATAGTAATGGAGACTGGAGTGAGTGTATGATTTTTTTAAATATCTTGGCAACATTTTGTACAGTTAAAATCATAATAAATACTATCAATTGAGACATAGTTTGAGGCTTTAGTTATTTGACCAAGTCATTTGGATTGAAATGTTAAGATTTTATTAATGTTGGTGGGTTTAGCAGCTTTTCATGGTTGGATATCATAAATCCAATTTGATATGATGTTCTAATAACTATTGTTTAAAGTAAAGTTTTTAGAATAGATATGAGTTTTCCTAATTAGTCGATAGTATAAGTGTATAAAATGTATATCTAAATAATAAACATTTTTAGCAGATATTAGCTGTATATTATTGAGATATATAAGGGGGAATTCCTTAGTTTTCCTTAGTTATTCCTTAGTATGAACATGCATTGGACTTTTACCTCTTATTCTTTATACCAAATTGATAAATATAATACTAATACATTAAAAATAATAAGTATGCATTTTAAATATTTTATTTCATAGTTAATACATATAAGTAGTAAAAATATAATTTTTATATCTTTTATAAATTCAGCAATAAGTTTATTCTTATTTAAAAGTAATTTTTAAAGAATTAAAATAAAAATAACGAACAATTAAAAATACTTAAAACTTTGTGGAGTAATAAATTTAAAAAGTGCAAATGCTATAGTCTTGTAGGCTATAACCACAGAACTTATAATATATAAATATTATATAATTTATTGAAAAACGCTATACACGCGGACAGACAAATTGACATATTGGTCGTCATGTTGACACTTAAGGAACATCAATGCAATATTTGACTGCATTTAATGATAACTCTGTCAAACATTATCTCATGTATGGGATCTTAATATAGGTGAAATGCATGTCTAAGGCCATAAGGATATTTAATACAATATTCACTACCTAGTAATGATATTTTAAAGTTTTAATGACTTAATGTTTCATAAAAAATATTTGATGACTTAAGATTAAATGTTTATGAATCGATTACTAATATACTTAATTAATTTTTATAGGTAAATAAATTGGTGTTTTTCTGCAATCTTTTCTCCTAAATTCCTTGAGTGAAATAACGTAAGTATAATAGATATACTTAAATTTTACTCTCTGTTATATTTTTAGAACTAAATATTAATGTATCAACATATCAAGATGACTATGTACCTACATTAAGAAATATATATATATTATCCAATATTATCAAACTCTAAAAAAATTTATTCTGATATCCATGAACATTAGACAAAGGACACCGATCGCAGACAGCTGAAGTGAAAAAATATAATCTAAATTTAACAAATTCATCAGAATGTGCTTCAGTAGTAACATGGTAGAAAATAGAAATGATAATTGACTAGCTAATTAGGTTTATGTTTACCATTGATCAGAAAAATTTAGATCTTTGAAAAACAAGTCTGAGCACAGACCTGAGGTTATATGTTTGTTTATGAAAGTTTTGGAAATGTTAACTGAAATCATATTTAAGACCATAGACATCAAATTTTTCTGAATCACTATGTTGTAGACTTGGTAGTAATATTTTGTTTTTATAACTTGACATACAGAAAAAAAAAATTGTATGGTTTTTCTATTTTTATAATATAAATAGTAAAACTTATGATTAGTTACTTATAATTACATAGTTCTAAGATCAGATTTTGTTCTATAAAATAGATATGTTTCCAATAATAATTATTGACTTCTAAGATAAGAAATATGGTGTTTTGTAAATACTTTTTAATTTTATGTATACTTAAACTTAATAATATAAAATTTATAAATTCAATGTATTTAAATTTTAACAACTCACTGGTCACTTGTATAATTAATAATAACTACGTTCTTAAAAAACGAACCGTTGATTCAGGAATTCAGAAGTTTAGTTATGTGTAAGACATTATTAATTATTTCAATTTAAATTTAAAGATAAGCAAATAAAAAAAATAATCACAAATTAGATCACAAAAACCTTATCAGAAATCGTTGAGTGATCAGTTTATCAATAGTCGTGTTTTTTTCCTATTTAGGATAACCGTCAGCGAGAAGGATCAGTGTGAACAATATTATTCCTAACTTTGGTTGTGTAAACTACCAATATCGTCATACATGAGTGTCATAATAACACGTAAGTATTAATATTATTAAATATAATAATTAGAAAATAGTTAAAAATTTAAAATAAAAACATTATATTTCTTATTCAATAAGTCGTATATTATTGGAAATACATTGATACGATAGAAGAAAATATGATCTTAAAATTATTTTCTATAATAATCAATAATAAGTTTTACTACTTAAATTAAAATAATGAAAAACGAATAAATTTCTTTTGCTGTAATTATAAAAAACGACATCACTACTGCTCGAATTATATTTTGGTGGATGCGCTAACTCTGGATCGTTCTTTTAGTTTCATCTGCACAGTTCGACGACATCCTTTCTCTATGTGGTATCTTTATAACCACGCCATTTATTATTCATTTCTATAAAATATGATTATTGAAAAAAAAAATACGATCTAAATATTGAGAATAATATATTATAATTAATTTATTGAGAACAATTCACTTGAAAAGTCTACTATAAAATATGATAAAAAAAAATAGGCCTTTAATAAATAATAGTAACAACTGTTAGCATGTGTGGCTTATCAAATAAACATAAACTTCTTGTTTAGTCATATAATAATAATATACCTAATTCATAGTAACTAGTATAAGTCTAATCTAATATCTATAAACCACATAAAATCAATATGACAATACGTATGAACAGCATTTTTATTCAATTATAGTAGATATGTTCTTTTTAAAATTTCAAGGAATTATCATTAAGAACAATTGGATAAGCATATTCTTTAATCTCTTACACTAAATATCAAGGACTCCGAAAACTTTTGGCTTCAAATATTGGTAACATTATAACAATGAGAATATAGTTAAATATTTTAATGCTAGTAAAATATTTATTATTTAGATTTTTTTTTTAAATGTATTAGTTTTTTATTTAATTAATTATTATTAAAATAATATGTTATGATTCATAACCTAAGCCAAAATTATTGTTTTATACCTATTCACATGTTTACTTATCAATATAAAATATTAAAGTTGTTTTTATTTATTAAAAATGTATAATTTTCACTAGTGAACTTTTTTTATATTTTCATTTAATGTACTTACTTATTAATTCATTAAGAATAACAAAAATTGACCACGTGTATACATTTTTTTTATATTTTAAGGTCAAGTGTTTTTTTTTTTTATAGTTAAATATAATTTTAATTTGTAAGTCACATATAATATAATCACTAAAATAATATAGTTGTGGCATTAAAACACATAGATTTTTCTAAATAGAATAATTAAAACTATAAACATGTATATTTAAGGGATATTTTAATGTTTAAAATGTTCAACAAACTATCTAATTGTTACTATATTTTATTAATACAGACTTAAAATTATATATTTATTTTTTGTATATATTATCAGTTAGGTATTAGAAATAAAAAAAACCATGATGTAATATTTTTATTACTATGAATAAGAGAAAATTTACATAATATAATACACAAGAATTCAATTTTTTTTTGTGTACCTATCCAATTTAACTATTATTACTTACCACATCAATTTCATTATGGCAATAACTCATGCAACACACAATACAACCAGATTTCATTTTATCCATGTGTTCTCGAACAACTACATTTTTATTACCAGTAGCTGTAATTACAATATCCACTTGTCTAATAACTTCGTTAAGCTTAACAACTTTAAATCCATCCATACTGAAATAATAAAACAGAAAACTCATTAAAATAAAGTATGAATTTCTTTATACAGTAAATTCTCAGTTTCAATATTTTTATTAGCCCATATAAAATGGTGATTTTGTTGTTTAAAATCTGTATAAGATTCATTTTTCTCTATAACTATTATCTATAGATAATATATCAATTATATTTGGTTGTTAGCCTTTTAAATTGTGTATTTTAATAGTAAATAGCACCATATTAAATCTTTATAAATTATGATTAAATTGAATGAATTTGATTTTATAGTAATTTTGTTTTGATATAATACCTTTTAAATTATTAGTATGTATTTATTTAATAATAGTTAATATTCAAAAATAAAAAACCATCAATACATACCATGCTTGCAAAGCACATATTGGATCAATTTCTGTAACATAAACTATACAACCGAGTCCCTTTAAAGATTGACAGCATCCTTTACCCACTTCTCCATAACCACATAATACAATTTGTTTCGCACCAAACATCAAATCGGTACATTTTTTTAAACTATTATAATATAAAATATAAACTTATATTAATATTACAAGATATATTGATCAATTAATAACAAAAACCAATTATAATCATACCTTACGATTACAGATTCCCTACAACTATAGCGGTTATCAAATTTAGTTTTTGTTACACAATTATTGATATTAATAGCTGGCATTAAAAGTTTTTCCGCTTTCAGCAATTTATATAAGCGATGAATACCAGTTGTACTCTCTTCAACTATTCCTAATAAACATTAAATACAATTTAAAACTAGTCATTAAATTCATCTATTCTAATATATTATTTATTAATAGTTTTATTAAAGCTTGTTTGATAGTTTAAATCTAAAATTGTATTTATTTAAATATAATTTCACATCTTAAGTTATAGCAAAGAGTTTTTTTGTAAAATTTTAATAATCAGAAGAAAGAATAGACTTCAAACATTTTTATCTAAATCGTTTTAAGTTACTCATCAAAATGAATTTCTTTCATAGATAATAATAATGTCATTTATACATTTCTTAGTTTATCACTTGATAAAATATTTTATTTTGAGTGTTGATAAATGTTAACTTAAAATTATTTTATTTTCTAATATGATTTTATTATTAACAGACAAACAATATTTAAAAAAAACAATAAATTATTTTACTGTTTTATCATTAATTTTTAATCATAAACATTTTTAAAAACTTTTTATTTATACTATTGTAAATCTAACACTTCTTAATATTCTATTTTAAATACAATAATATATTGTTGCTTTTAAATCACTATAAAATTTGCTTAATTCAAGTTGAATCAACACTATTGGACACTCCCAGTTATTTTGTAATTTAGACATTTATTATAACTGATAACATGTTTTTTTTTTTTAATTTAATTAAATATACTTCATTAATGACTGTTTGACCATATTCTTTAGTATTTAAATTTTAATGCAAGGTATGAAAATTAATAATATCAATAAATAATATTTTTATATTTAAATTTATTAAAATAATAAAATAATAATTCTACTCTGTTTATCTAATTAAAAAACCTACTCAAATTTAATTCTAAAATCTACTGCAAACAAGGAGTAAGGAATTTTTTTGTTTCTATTTTGATTGTTGTGAGACGGAGAGACAGACAGGTTGGTGTAATATCTTGCATACTATTAACTAAATATGATAAAAAATTATATTTTGATAACTAAAACAAACTAAATTAAATATTAGTAATAAGAAAAAAAATTCAAAACACACAACTTCAAATTTTTTAAAAATAAATAATTATTAACTATGACCTTTGTGTAGATAATTACCAATTAAATTTTTAAAAATATTAGGATATTTTGCTTGACAAAAATTAGTTGCATCTCCACCATCATCTAAAATCATGTTAGGTTTCCAATTCTTGCCTTCAAAACATTTTTCAATACACCACCAAAAATCATCAACAGATTCACCTCGCCATGCAAATATTGGAAATCCTAAAATTTAGTAACTGCATTAATATAAAAATTATAACTCTTCGTAGTACTTTTATAGGTGTTAAGGACACTATGCACAAAAATAAAAAAAATAAATGAATAAATAACATTGGCTATATTTAAAACAATTGTTTATTTGATTGTTGCAATTTCCTATTTCAGTTTTCAAAAATGCATGGTGATGTTATACTATGTTGAATGTTTTGTAGTTCATTTTAATATTCATGATATATTAGGTAGGCAATATCACAGGTCTATATTTACCAAATATATATATATCTTATATATTTCATAGTGATAATATTATTATTACCAAAGAAGAGTATTTAACTCAATTAATGTCATCGCTCTATATTTAGTTCCTATTGTATATTATACAATTTGTATGGTTTAAAAGTAATAAGTATCAAAGTAAAAATGTATTTTATAATAGATCTTTATAAAATGTATTTAATATCTAACAATTCGATTTCTTTAATAATTAAAAAAAATATGCAAACAACCAACATCATATCTTTTGAAACAATGTTATTCTAATTTCAAAGAAATTAAAGTTTTCAAAGAAATAGCTATCTTTAATAACATTTTTGAATCATAAGGTTTTAACAGATAATACTGTAAAATCAATAGATCATACTTCCTTTGCATTTGTTAAAATATGCAATTTAAAATGTCATGGAAATCTATTAAGAAACTATAAATATGATATACAAATGTTATAAAATATTTAAATTATTATTTGACTCGAGTAAAATAACCATAATTACATTTTCCTATTAAGAATTTACTTTGATAATATGTATAGTTGTTCACACCAATCTCAGACTATCAAACAATTAAAAAATTATTGTTATTTCTAACCTAGCTAAGTATTATCTTTTTGGATAGCATAAATTTAAATATGTATCAGTGGCAAATATTGACGGGAGGTTAACAACCTCACTGTCAAAAAATATTAACCATAAATTTATGATTTAAGGATTATACAATATTTTCTTGCATTGGTCTGGTACATAGGATATCGTGTACTCAAAATGTTATTTTGGATTAAAAAAAATAATAATAAAAATGTTTAAGAAATAAAACAGTTCAATACCATAACATAATTAAAGATATTTGAAATATACATAAGAGAACACGTTTTATAGTAAGAAAATAACAATAAAGTTAATTATTTATTTAAAACTATTGCAAGAAATAATTTTTAAAGTTTTGAATAAAAGTACTATATTTATAGCAATTTAATAATAAATCAATATGAATGAAATCAACAAAATATAATTATTAATAAATTAACAATTTATCTTTTAAATTTCTAACAAATAAATAATGTTACAAAATAATGATTGTAAACTTTTGTACCAGGTACTGAAACTTACAAAAAATATATTTATATACTCAGTTATAAATGAGAAGGAATCACTAATATCCATTACCAGAGGCGTAGCAACATATGTTATTTTAAATAAACAAATTTTTAATAATGAAGAAATTATAATTATCAAAAAGATAAGTTTATGCAAATTATAGTAATTATCAGTTACCATACTATTAACAATGATAGTCACAGGTTATGTTTAGTTATAGGTTATTGTTAATAGTGGTTTATTCAATTAGTCTTAAACCTTAAATGCATGCTGTACACAAATTTCTTTTCTTCGTCAACCTACTACTTCAAATAAGTAATAGTAATAGTAAGTATTCTTAGTTACTGCCATAATTCCTTCTCATTTGTTAAAAAGTATAGACACATAGTACATACATATTAAATTGATTGAAAAATAAACTATCTGATATATAATTTATAATTAATACTTCATTTAAACAAAGGAGGCTTCTTTTGCATGCGTCGAATGACAGTCCAAGTGAACATAAAGCCAAATTTTCTTAATACATATTCATGGTAAAACTGATGCCAAAAGGTTTTTAAGTAAGTAGGTTGTAAAAGGTGAAATCATTACAGAATGACAAATGTAGAACAGTTTAGAAGATTGTTTTAGGAATGAAGTTGTGTTCAGAAAATTATACTAATGATTAGAAAAGTCGTATAAATAGTTTGATTTACAGAAATACCAAATTTTTAGGTAATTAGTTTTGAAATGTATGCAATGTCACTTCATTCAAAAATCCATACATTCACTAAATAGATACAAGATTGTATAGAGTTCAAATTTCAGCATAGTATCTTATGAGCCTCATTTTTATCATATCAGTAATATAACTTGTGATGCCCATTATTACCTGCTTCTGCTAAAGCAGCACCAACTTCATTCTAAAAATAAATAAATGTTTAAAATATTTTCAAATGTGATTATTTATATACAGTGGAACCTCAATAACTCGAACTTCTATAAGTCGAATTTTCGATAACTCGAAAGAATGTCTTGGCCTCTACTTTATAACATGTCATATGTGTAACCTCTGTAAGTCGAATTTTTGATAACTTGAATTTTTTTTCACCCCCAATCGATTCGAGTTATTGAGGTTCCACTGTAGTTATGTAATAAATAAACACTTAGTTAAAACAAAATTTTTATTAGTACCTGTGTTGAATAAATATTGCAAGCACACCATCTCAATTCAGCGCCTAGAGAACCTAATGTTTCAATTAATACCTGCACAAATAATAATGATAACATTCAATAATTGATAATTGTACAAAAAAATATTTTATTAACTAACAGCAGTTGGTGCAGTGATAGGTGTACATCCAATAATTTTGGCTCCTCGTAATGGCTTATCTTCCATCACCTGTTTTCTTAGTGACATTAAACCAGGCATTTCTAAATTAATGTTTTAAGTATTAGTATATGACTAAAAAAAAGTATATTTCAGAAATACATATTAATTGTAAATTTACTCATCTGTTGAATTACATACAATATTGTCTGTACAAATTAACAATGAATAAGTAAAAATTATTTCAAAATAAAGTATGATACAATTTACTAATTATTGTACAAAATAAGATAGATTTTTTATAAAAACAATTAGCATGATATTCTATAACAGATTAAGTGTTAAAAATAGAATATGAATTATTTTGTCTTTAGGATTCATAATTATGATTATAAACATATTACTTCATTAGGTCTTTTGGATTCAAGACTAATATAATATCTATTATTTATTCTATTGATTAAGAATATGGCTCTAATGTTCATGGTACCAGTACTATTAAAACTAATAATGAGTTATGAAATCCAAAATCATATTTAAATTTAATAAATAAAAATTTAGTTTATACTTCATAAAAAATGTAAACATGTTTGCATATTTCTTATAGAATTACTAGTTATAATTATATGGTATTACATATATATTCATACAATATAGATGATTTGAAAAATACCTACATTGAAATCCTTAAAAACATAAAATAAAGAATAGAAAAATTAAATGTTACTTAATTGTAAAATTATAAATAATAAAGGTGCTTGGTATTTTCAATAACATTTAATTAGTAATTAATATGAGTAAGGGTATTCTCAATAATATATATTTCAAAACATTAATTTATTTTAATATGCACGTGATATCTTTAAGTTTATAACTATGAAATATTAATAACTTTACTGAGGTAAATGAAATATTAAAAAATAAAAATTTAACTAGGTATATATTTAGTGAATTAGTGAAAATTGAATTACTTATGTTAGGTATTAGAAATAACAAAATGTACATTGAAAAAATCAGGACTATCACAGTTAATAAAGAAAGTTATTATTAAGAGGATAGGTTTATTCTACAGTAAAATTAGTTGATGTCATAATACGTTATGTAGCTCAAATATATAAAACTACCATATATACTTCAATTATTTTTTATACTAATGAATTTAATATTTATTGAAACTAATTAATAATAATTAGAGATGAACATTTTTAAATATTTAGAATATATAATAATGTTTTCTTTAGAATAACAAAATTTTACTTTCCATAAAGATATTTTCTTTAATAAAAACTAATTAAAGTAGTTGAAACTAATTGGATGTTAGCATGCCATTTGTTATTTACGATGATTAAAAAATTAAATATTATGATAAAATAAACTAATATATTTTACTTATATTCATATACAAAATGTTATCAAAAAACACAGGAAATATAGATGTCATTAATTAATATTTAAAATATTAGAAACTAAATGTTTTTAGTCTATTTATTTTTAAGTTTAAATAAGGTTTTTATTAGAATTTTAACTAGCAAAGAAAAATTGTATAGATTATTTCATAAGATTTTATTTTAATCAAGTCAAACAGTTCCAATACTGGTGGGCATTCCTCTCCATGTTGTTTCATGTTGTTACTATATTATAAATGAAGTCACCAAATTTACCGATTGTAAACAAACTTTTGTTAAAAAATAAAATTGAATTGGTATTTATCTAGTGAACAAGAAAAATGGTTACTATATTTACCTATAGTCTAAATGATAATATGTTATAAAGGTAGAAATAATAAACTTTGCTATATTATAATTAATCTTTTTTGTTTTAAATACATTTTTGTATCACAACAACATTAATGATACATGATTAATTATTAAATTAGTTGAAAATTCTTATTTGTTTTTTTAAAAAGTTTCAAATTATGTAACATATATGATAATACAATATATTTATTGTTCTTAATTGGTGTCATTTAAATGTTTTTTTCCAAATTTTAAAGACATTTATAATACTCTTTGGCCTATTTAAGGATATTACTATTTATTTGGATTTATGTTGGGGTGTTTTTGTGAAAAAATGTTGAGAATCATTAAGATATACCATCAATAATAATACAAAAACATTAATTTTTTCTTATTTAGTGACAAAATAATTTGTGCATAATCTGTATAGTGAGATAGTGGAGGGACTGTGACTATAAAGATTATAAGATAACATCAATTTTTTTTATCAGCACAAATGCAAAATATTAATAATTTAAATAAAATTACAGAATATAAAAAATGTACTGTTAAAAAATATAGGACAGGTGTTAAATTAGGTTATTCATCAGTAGTTTTATACAATGACTAGGGTTTGAATTTGAAGGAAAAATTCTATTTTAATAATAATAAAAAAATAATTTTTTTAAAAAAATGTGTGTCATTTAATATGTAAGACAATGGATGTATTTTGTTTTATTTTTTTTACTAATAAATGATTTTTTGGGTTTTTCACTTATAAATGCATTATTAATTTATAAATGCCTTTATTATTTAATTTTCAATAAATTTGATAGTTTAATACACAAAATACATCTTAATAGTATAAATCGATAAGATCTTCTGAAGACTGTACATTATCGTTAATCAATTATTTTCAATGGGTTTAATTATAAATATCACTAGATACTTAATATTTTAGTATTTAATATTGCCAATTAATTTAACGTTTATAAAAGTACCTATACTACGTATCTAATATCTATAGATTAAAATATGTTTATAATGCGTAGTACTAGATTTAAAATTGTTCATAAGTACATAATTTACATAATTTTCTTTTTAATACAAACTAGTTAAAATATAAAATATACAAACTATTTTATTTTTAGTAAATTTTGCAATTGCTTTCTTTATGAATTCAATGCTTTTTTTTTATTAATTTTATTGCCTTTAAATCCAACTCTAATAATGAAGATTTGTTATTTGTATATATAAATAAATCCATAAATAAAAATAAATGCAAACTAAAAATGTTTCAATTACTTTTGCTAATATAATTATAAATTATAAGTGTAATATTACCTTGTTCAGCAAATTCGATTTCACGCCTTCCAAAGTCTTTGAGTCTTATATCTTTAATGCAAAAATCACTAAATCCCTTACTATTTTGTTGTATTTTAGACCTAACTGGTGTATCATCTTCAGATAAACTTGCTGTGGAAATATATAATGTATTTAATTAAATAAAGTAAAGAAATATATTTTAATAACAAATAATTTAATAGTCATCCTTCGTTAAAATAGATAACTACAGACACAGTGAAATATCAATGATTAATTGTTTTAAAAATTAAATTTATTTCATTTAAAAATAATTAATTTAACAAATAGAATAGAAAATTTAGGAATAAAATTTTGTTTTACTTAAAGTATATCTGACATTTTCGCATGACTTGTTTATTCTTTGGTCCATAAATATAGTATTACACTAGGCAGGTTTAATCTTGTTTTTTTTCAGCTTTAATATTAGAGTTAATAACTTATTATCTAACTTAAATTTAAAAAAAACATTATCATAATTTGTATTTTAGCAGTTTTATGATATTTTAATTTTTTTGAGACATATTTTAGTTTCAATATTATACACATTTATGGAATGCAAAAAAAATTAAATATCATAAAAAAGCCATTGTTTAAGCTTATAATATTCAAAATTTAAGTTTAATAATTGGTCAAACTATCAAAATTAAGATTAAAGTTAGCAAAAGATCAGTCCTACTGAACTCAAAATGTTCTTAATTTTTTTACCTGATTTTTACTGGTGTTATTAATTATTATTAACAAAATATAAATAATTTTTAATTGAACTATTTTAACACAATTTTCAAAAAGATAGTTTTAATTAGGAAGGTAGTATAGTCATATTATACATTATTTACAACACATAAATATAATAAATTTTAATTAAAGTAACTACACATCCGATAGTTTTTTTAGAATTTATCAATATACCTACTTATCTAAGACATTTATGTTTATTGCTACCTAATAAATTACTATCATATATTTTCAACACCGAGTTAAATTATGTGCAAAATATATTTTTTATTAATATTAATGGTGTTAAATATTTTAAAGAATTGCAAACTAATAAAAGTTTAACAGTTTTGTTGGAATGCAAGAAAACCTGATTCATTAATATTTCAATAAAGTTGAATGGACAAATCTACCAGATTTCCATCAATAGGTAGAAAATAAAGTATTAGGCCATAGAAAATTCTTACCAGAACTACATGAATCTGTTGAACATGTAGACACAGATCTAGGTCTGTAGCTCTTGTAGGGCATTTTTGCAGCAGTGATTTTCTAAATATAAAATAAGATTTAAAACTATATAATGAGCCAAAAAAAGTTTAACTCTTACCTCATTACTGACATCTGATGATGTGAATGAAACTTCTTTGCCATTTAAAGACATATTTGCAATTTTTACCAAGTTATTTAACCTCAAAGAAAGATTTAACTATTAAGATCCTATTCATCAGTAAACTACTGCCATTGATATTGGTAAAATTAAGATAATATTTTCTTACAAAACGTTTGAAAAAAACTTATTAAAATATTAGAAATACAAAAGTCTTAACAGAAAGTTGCAAATTGACAATTATTCAAATTTGTGGGAGTGTAAAATAATAATTGCTCTATTGTTTAGATTTTTTTGTTTTTGTTCGACTATACGAGGCGACACAAATATAAAACAATGTTATTATAATCAAACCATCGACGACGTCTACTTTCCCCTCTGTGTATCCGAACCGTCTACTTAAATAAACCTAATGGCAAATACTTAGTAGTTGAAATATTTTGTAAAACAGATAGTAGGCGCGTGTTTTGTATATCGTGTTAATTACAATAATAATATTATATAACTCTACACAACTACTGACGATCCCTCCTTGCAACTGTAAATCGAAAAATATTACTGATAATAGATTTTTTACACTCGCATATAACACATATACGAATGTAACGATGGGCTGACACAAGCCCAATTCGCAGTTCCCAGTTGAGAGATGTTAATGATATGATAAAATAATTAATTAGACACGCACAGGATTGCAGCTTTGTTAAAGCAAAACCAGATCATATTTGAATAGATACATTGAAACGATTAGCCGATAAACTATAAATGTTGTGTAAAAATGTGTTGACGAATATAGAAAATATTAAGCTCTCCGAATCAGTGTTTGGTCACCACTAAGACGTGGCCAAGTGATAACGAACGTGAAAACTACTTATCAGTTATTACTAAAGATTTTATACCGTCCTAACACTAGCTATCGCCTATTGAATACTGAATAGTGGTTTTACGAAAAATAAAATGTATTGAACATTTACCTATCGATTAATAAAATGAAAGTTAAATGAGTTTAATATTGTTTAAATGCAATGACCAAACACTTAAAAGTTTCTGATTAATGACATTAAATTACGTCCTAATAAGACGGTAACAAATATTAAATTAAATAATTTACATTTAATGAGTAATTGAGACAGAATGGTAAAACTACTATCGAACTATCGAATAGGTTAGGTTTAACCAATCGATATTTTAAAGTTATCACTCGTTAATCAAACTGATCGATAGTATAATACGATTGTACCCACTACACGACCGACCAAACAGTTTTTTTTCGGTTTTACACTTTTACGTCTTTATAAGTTTACTTACACTTTTCATTTCACTACGCGTTATCAGTACCGGTCTGGTTGGACCACGTAAATATTCCCGCGGCGTCAGATCGGAATAATAGATGGGATTTTGTGTGGAAACAAAAATTATTATGCAATTTTCATGTTCCAATCGAGCGTTTTAAATATTATTATTATTCTAAAGGCATCACACTCCCCATTACTTTTGTTTTCGTTAACTTGTTCTGGAAATTTTCAGGATTTCTACAGACAATAGTAGGTGAGTATTTACACACTCGTTAAATATTATTATTATTTATATATAGGTAGATTATACACAATACACCATAATATATATCACTTTAATCTATAATTTATAAATTTGTTCATTAAAGACTTATAAAGCCTTAAAAAGTTAGTATTATATGCTATAATTAATGGTACAAACATATTGAAAATTTTAGGAATTATAAGAGTCTTCCTTTTTTTTATTATAAATTTATAAGTTTAAATAATAATTTATCATGATAATTTAGAAAAAAAAGGTCTTAACATTTTATGGAAATTAATAATGTAAGTTTTAACTAGGCTACCATAGTGTAATGTCTAAATGTTTGAATTTTCCAAAATACAAATCTAAATAATAAATCAACAATCAAATTGAAGGAAATTTACTAAGTTTTATTCCATTTTCTTTATAAAACAATAATTTTTTTTTGAAATACAAGACAAAATAATAATAACTAAAGACACTAAGGACTTAAAATTTATTCAGAGTTTCATTTTAACTTATTTATTAAATATTATCAAATAACATTACCTAGAAATTATATAACAACTTAGAAATAAGTTAACTGAAGTTATAGAATAAATGTTTTATAATGTATTCAAATCACCAATAACAACTATAAAAGACATTTTTTTTTCTGTTATCCAGATTTTTATTCTCATTGATTTATAAGTTGTTATAAATAGGTTACTGATACTACGGAATAGAATTTATAGCATTAAACTTCATGAAAATATACATTCAAAAATGCATTGCATTTTATCAAGTTAAATGGGTCTAATTATACAATCAAAATTATATAAATATACACAAAAAGTTATGCATATTTAATATGCTACTAAAATTTCTGTGTAAAAATATAAAATAATAAATTAAGTACCTATGTATAAATAAAAACTAAATGTTTACATTTTAAATACACAATTAAAATAAGCTCATCATTAATTCATAAAAATAATTAATACAAACAAAATTATGCAAGATATGAGAGAATGAGAGATGGGATCAATGTTAGGGTCTATAGCTAATTTGTAATGACAGGTCAGCTCACAATATACCTAATGTTTTAAAAAAAAACTTGTAAGTTCAGTGTCCTGTATTTGATTTTTGTATGATGATTTCCAATTATAATATTGGACTCGTATTTGTACACATATATTATATAGACTATAAAATTATTAAATATTTTCATGCCTTAAAAAAAAAAAAAAAAATATTTTACATTATAGATGCCAAAAGTTCCTAATAAATATGTATATAAAAAAAAAAATGTTATTAAACAAATCTTAGTATAATATTTAAAAAATATTTAATTTAATTTTTATATTTTTAAATTTATGATTTTGAAACATATTATTTTTATTTTACTTAGTAATTGTATAGTTTATTAAATTAAGATATACAAACTTAGTAAGTCCAAAGCACTTCTTCATTCACTATCAGTGACGTAATAGCTACTAGAGAAATATTTTTTTTTACATTACGTATATATCAACTAAAATGCAGGTAATATAGAAATATACTGGTTTGACAACATTTAACATACTCCAGAATTTCAATATTGACCCTATAATAGTGTTTTATAAAACTAAAAAACTTTAAAAGAGGAAATATAAGTCTAAAATATTTTATATAAAATATATAGATGCTTTTAATCAGGGCTGGACTGGGTAGGTAGGATACCAGGAGTTTCCAAGTGGGCCACTTGTACTCATAGGGACGTATTTTTTTAGGTTTATCAGTTAATGCTCATTATTCTGTCAACAGACATAGACGCATTTTCTAATGCGATTGTATTAGAATTTGTCCAGTGGCATCATTTATGCTTATGTCAGTTGAATCTGATATTTTGATGGCATTGGATAATGAAATCAAAATCGACACAATTTTGCAAAAGAGCTCAAACCTTAACAAATTGCTTAAATATATTAATGTATATTCTGGAGTCTAAAATTATGTATTTTAAATAAAAATGATAACATTTCTTTGTACTAATCAATTTTTAATTTTTAATAATAATTTTTAGTGTTGAAATTCTCAAAATAATATACTATCATTTTATATGAAAATACATGTTTTTTTAAGGTTATTATTATAGGTTTTCCTATGTAGGCCGATTTTTTTTATTTTCCTGGTAGAAAATTTTTGTTCCAGTCCGGCTCTTCTTTTAATATAACATTACTAGATGATGTAATATAATGAATTTTATATTTATTACCAAAACAACAATATATGAATTTCATACTTTGCAAAATGATATTTTTAATTTGTATCTTTTATTGATAACATCTAGATCTTTGGCTTATTATTGTTACTTTATATTTTAACTAAAATGTCATTAATAATATTATTAAATTTTCATTTACATAACATTCGACATTTTTAAAAACACAGAGTTGTTTAAAATTTTAGAATAGTTTATATTGATATTTTATTTAAATAAGTTTGATATTCTTTATTTTTATCTTAGTAACCACTAAGATAGTTAAATGGAAAATCTACAATGGACACAATTACTGATAAAGAGCTGCTTATAAAAATTTATTTTTTAGCGGTCAACCCTTAAAACTTATGTTTTAATTTTTATTTAACAATAATATATTGTAGATATCTTTAATATAATAAAGGTACTTATATATTTTCAGTATGTAATAATAAAAAAAAATCAATGCTACAAATAATAGGGCATAAAAAATAAGAACTAATTGTTAAGCTTTGTTCAGGCCTATGTGGTTTATGTATAAATCATCCTCTGAGTTTAGTTACTAATGTTATTACTAGAATGGTTGTTATTTATAACACCTTTGGGTTATAACTAGTATTATAGTTTAACATTAATTTAAATGTAATTAGTGTTATAATATAACCATAATTTAAATATAATTACAGTTTAAAATTGAATTATAAGATAATTAATTCTGTAATGTAACATAAATATATTCTCTTTGTAATATATGCAGACTCAGACTGGGAAAACACCAGCCTACTATTTTCAGTAAGGAGGCGGCCCTAGATACAAAATAAAAAAATTACCTTATTTTTTTTTTTGCTCATTAATTGTTTAAAAAAACTCAAGTAGTTTGGCCTACTGTGCTGTAGAACAGTAGCACAGTGGCCCAGTCCGGGCCTGAATATATGTGCACTACAGTGCTATTATGTTCTATTGCTACTCATTTTGTATATTACACTGATTGTATTTATATATGTTTGCCAGTTTTTAATATTGTATAAAAGTTTTAATGTACCATTAAATATAAGTTATTTATTAGTAATTCTTTACTTAAATATTTCTAAATATGTAATCATGCATAAAAAATTAATTGTATTTAATATAGTAGGTTCAACTTATTATAATGCATTTCAATATTTTTTACATCAACTACATGCATTATTGAATTTTCATTTTTTTATATTTTCCACAATTAAAAAAAGAAAACTGTTTTGAATGATTACGTGTTGGATCATATTTTAGAACATTTATTTAGATGAATTTTCTTGTATATTTATGTCTATAAAATATTATTAAATAACTATAAATAAATGATTGCTCTTAGCACCTATATTTTAATCAGTATTTTTTAGCACTAACAAATTTTTTATACAAAAAATACTATATTTATTTTTTATAATTTATCATATTACATGATTTATTAAATAGATATTTAATTTTTGTACTAAATGCAAATTATTAAGTGTAGAATGAGTTAATATTTACTAGTGTGTTATTGATAATAGTTATATACTTGTTGTATATATGTGTATGTGTTTTTTACTTCATTAAAATTCCAAATTTACAGACTTGAATAAACATTTTTAAATTATTAAAAATTATTAGATTTAGTTCAAAAATCTATAATTGTAATTAATTTAAAAACTCTAATCTAGTAATTAGAACAAAGGGTAACAATTTTATAGAAAACGATTAAGAATTAAAAATATTTGTGTAAGTAAAAGCTTCATTAATAAAGTGAACAATTTTTCCCATACAAATTTATTCTCAAGAAAGATTTACAGGTTTTAAGTTATTCAAATGCCTCTTAAAAAACCAGAGCTCTTCAGTAAAAAATAAATATTTATAAAAAACATTGTAACTATTGTAATTTTTTTTTTCTAATTCATCTTCAAACTATTAATTTTGATAAAGTTTTCAATAAATAAAATGTATGCATTCATATATTTTACTAATATTATATACAAATTCAGTCTTTATTTACCACATCATCTATGGTGAATTTCAACCATCTATGGTGAAATTCAAAAAATATATTAAATTTATTGTTTATGAATATGCATATTATATAAATTGATAAATTATAAGAATTAGTTTGCACTTAACCTAGGTATACTTAAAATCATTATACATTCATTTGTATAAATACTATATATTTTTTTAATTTGTTCATTATTTACTTGAACAAATATTATTAGTCATTGGATTTTTATCTGTAGTTACATCAATATTAATTAGTTTTATTTTAGTATCAAACATTATGTGTTTTAATTTAATGTTAAACTTAATATTTAAATTAAAGTACCTGAATTAGTTTCATTCTTTGTTATAAATAAATAAAAAACAAATTTGAGGTTTTAATTTAATGATGATTTAAAACAGGGGTCGGCAATTAAATTCTATAGAGGTCCAGAAATCAAAAAAAAAAAAAATTTCGAGGTCCAATAAAAACTAAAAACTCAGATATCAGTTAATAATTGTTATGTTATCGCAATTATTATTGTAAATAGCAATAAACGATAAACACCATTGTAATCTCTAAATACATCATAAAATAGATAAAATATATATTATGTGTGGAAAACCAGCATTATTAAAAAAAAAAAAAATATTTTTTGTGGTCCAATTATTTTTTCTTCGCGGTCCACTTATTGCCAATTACTGATTTAAAATAACTTAATTTTGACTGTTTACAGATGTCTTAATTATTTTTAAAGCTAAAATATAATGCTAAAACTGTTAATAGTATGGTAAACAATTATTAAAAATTGTTATGATTAAGGTACTTATATAATATAAACGTGTTACTAATTTAATAATTCTATTTCTATCTCTACTACTATACAAAATTGTATAGGGTTTTCTACGACCGCACTACCCGAAAAAATTACTGAACCGATTTGGCTAAAAAATTTTAATGTTTTACCTGACAGAATATTATAATACCATTTTTGTTAATAAAAAATAAGCATAAAGTTTTTGAAAAATTAAAAAACAAAGCTAAAAAAGCATTGAAAAAAAAATAAAATAAAATATCGTTGACATAGAAACCAATACCCATACTTATTTTAAATCGCTGCTGTTTTATCACAAATACCATATTATCTTAGAAAATTAAAACTCGGACATTTTATAAAAAAAATTTATTAACAACAGATTAACTATCATTGCTTTATTGTGTCAGTATTTATTTTAATAAAAATATATTTATCAATAATACCCGTAGAAACATTTCAATATGTTTTTCATTAACCGTTTTTATATTTATTTTTCGATCTCATTAAACAATAAAATTTGATTAAAAATTATATATATCGTCTAAAGGGAAAATAAACAACCAATCATGGGCAAAGCCGTGACATGTTGGCTAGTTAAGTAACATTACTTCATGCTAATCCAATAAAACAATATTTTTGCTTTGATAAATTTATTTATAAAAAAACATTTATTTTAAATTTATAATGTTTAATTAATAAAGTTAAATGAGCTTTTTATTATTATCTACAAATGCAAGGATTTAATTTTCTTTTATATTTATTTTTGTTATCAATCGTATTTGAATCTATTGTCTGTTTCATTTAACATTTTTCATATATATTGTCATAAAATATTTATATTAACTATTCTAGTTGCAATTATCTTCTTCAAAACTTCCATCACCTTCTCTAGTTCTTTGTTTCTTTTTAAATACTTTTTGAAATATTTCATCATTAGCTCTATCCAGCTTTTTATTAACAAAATAAAACATTTTAAATAGTTTATCGCGTTTATTTGATGTTATAGTCCAAATTTAAGAATTCTATGAAATTAAGATACAAGCTTAGTCTTGTAAAAGTTTTTCCTAATATTTCACATTCTTGTTCTTTTAAATTAATCAAATTTCTATTTTTACTTTAACTATGTACTGGATGATTCATTTATCAAAAATTATTAATTATTTAAAAAAAAATCTGATAAAAATGTAACACTTTTGAAAATATTTTTTTAAAGAATCATTCTGTATTTATTAAAAAAAAAAAATAATAAATAAATTTATTTAATATATTATTTTTATTTCCTTAATATTTTATTTAAAATTATGTAAAAAATAAATATTAATTAATTAAATCTTAAAAATATATAAAAAGGTTTTAAAAGTATAAAGTGTTTCGTCATCTTTGTAATTTAACATTCTTTATCTTCAATCTATAAAATATTAACCAACATTAATAAAAAATTAAAACAAAAATTGATCTATATTAATATATAGTATAAGTCATACTCATATGTAACATTTATATTGTATGACGTCTTATCTTTGACAATAACGACCAGTCATAATTTTATCAATAATATGTGGTTGTGAATGTGAAAATAGAATGAAAAACAAATATATGTGTTTTAAATAATAATATGCACTATAAAACTAGTGATATGCATTAAATATGCATTTAATAGGTAAAACTGTTAAAATATGCAAAATAAAATTTGTGTTATTGTAATAAGAATGATCTTAATCGGGGACAATTCTCATCAGATTTCAAAAACCTTATTTCCAATACATTTATACATTTGCATATAAATCTGGTCCCTAGTAATTACAGTGTATTATTGTTGATAGAACAATAAAATAATAATATCAAAACAAATTCTAAAAATGTATGAAAATGACATACTTTATATTTAATTGTAAGTATCATTAACAATTTAAAACATTTATTATCTTTGAAAAATTATTTCAGATATTATTGATAATGCTCTTGCTGTTAATTCTTCCATTTTTTCAATTATTACATGGTTTGGATGTTTCTAAATTTGTCCCAAAAGCTTCTGCTGATATTTCACCTTGCAAAAGTTGTAAAATATTAGTTCAATCTTTTGAAAAGGTAAACAATTCATAAACCATAATTTTTTATGTATATGTTTGAAATGAAAGTGTAATTTTAGGGACTCGAGAGAACTAAAAATGGTCACTTTGGTGGTGGAAACACAGCATGGGAGGAGAAAAATCTATTAACTTATTCAAAAAGTGAAGTAAGATTTGTGGAAATTCATGATTCATTGTGCACTGAAATATCTCAAGATCAAGATATGGTAAAATGAATAATTGCTTATATTTTGATTAATTTCCTAAGCACTTTATTTTTCTAGTGTTTTCATTTATCAAGTGAACATGAACACCTTTTAAAAGAATGGTGGACAGATGGCCGTCAAGAAGATTTATACCAATGGTTTTGTGTTAACAAATTAAAAGTGTGTTGCCCACCAAAACATTATGGTCCTGATTGTTTACCATGCATAGGTTATCCAAATGTTTGTAATTCTCATGGAACTTGTAAGGTGATAAAGTTTTTACTAGCCTTTATTATTTAATAAATGTTAGTATTTTTAACAAATTTTTTTCTATCTCAGGGTGATGGAACTCGAAAAGGCAATGGGTTATGCAAATGTAAAAATGGTTACGAAGGTACCAACTGTGATCATTGTGCAAATAATTATTTTATCATAATGAAAAATAATACTTTCACTTGTGAAAAGTGCCATAAATCTTGTAAAGACAGCTGTAAAAGTTCCGGGCCAAAAGGTTAGATTATACTTAAGTATATTGAATATATAAATAATATTATAATAATTTAACCATATTTCATAAAGTGTACAAATATTGATTAACTTAACTTTTTTGAATTTAAATTTATAAAGTAAGATTTTATAATAGTTAAATTATTGATAAAAAAAAAAAAAAAAAACCATTAAAAAATAGGTGCTTAGTTCTGTGACATCTTAATAGTTAACATTTAATTTTGATAAATTTCAAACATTGTCAGGCTAGTTTATGCCTCTTCTTTCTTATTAACTTTTTCTAAAAACCAGAGATAACATTTTAATTATTAATTACTCATATTTGTTTAAATTTAAATTTATTATAAATTAATTGACTAAAATCATATACAATGTAATATTAAAATATTTTACTTTGGGAATAACTTTGAGCAGTGGTGTTATAAACATTTTATTCATAGGGACAAACATTAAAGTTACCCATTCACCCAAACATAAAATAAAGATCTTCCCATATACATATATATAAATTTTAAATAAATATTGATATTATTTTAAAATATCATTTAACATTAATGTAACCTATAACGCCCAACAATTTATACCTAACTCATACAATATAATATTTTCTTACCAGTTCTCCTATTACATATAATAATACAGTATACTCCTATAATAAATTACTAAAAAATACCTATTGCACAATGTTTATTTATTTCACTTAATTATAATCAACAAATTACTAATTTAAAAATGGTGTTTAAATTTAAAAAAAAATTTATTTTATACCCTTATAAAATTACTTACCTACTTGGATAAATTTAGAAATTTGTGATGCTGTATTTGTTACATAATTAAAATGAAGATTTTCTTTTAGAAAATTTATTTTGTAGTAATAAAAATATTAAAAAATTGATAATTGTATTGAACATTTAATACAAACATTTAAATATTAAATGTGTATAGTTTTTTTAAATTTACAAAATAGAAGTATCATAAAATATTTTTTATAAAAATCTGACACTATTCAACTTTTAACTTTTTGATTCAGCATCAATTTCTTTGGTACTATAGGGTTTAGTTTTTTTAACATCCTATTTTTTTAATTTATTATTTTCCATATATGTATTTCAATGAATAAACCAACTTCCTAAATTAATAGATGACTGAGTATTTTAAAAACATTTGAAACATTTTAATTGTCAGATGTAATTTCCATGTTTAATGTGCTATATAATAATTTTTATGAATCAATCATTTTTTAGGTACTTTAAATTATTATATTTTTAATTCATTATATTTTAAGAATGTCTCCTAAAATATTTAATTTTTTTTTTGTATCAACTAAATAATATTTAGAAAATCAGAATTTTCTAGATCAACAAATTTTTTATAATTATCAAGGTGAATAAGAAACCTAGCAACATGTTTAATTTGAAATTTATATTTTTTTATGTATATAGGTTGTAATGAATGTAAAGATGGATGGGTGTACATGGGTGAAGGAGAAGGTTGTGTTGATGTTGATGAATGTTTGGAACAAGATGTTTGTACTTCACAACAATTTTGTGTTAATAATGATGGCTCGTACTCTTGTTTAAGTAAGTATCAAAATATAGGCTTATTATTTCTTTATGCTTTATTTAAATTTTCTTATTTACAGATTGTGATCCATCATGTACAGATTGTTATGGTGACGGAAATGATATGTGCTATAATTGTGCTGCGGGATATATCATGAAAGATAAAAAATGCATAGGTAGTTTTTTATTTTTATTAAATTTTGTTATTTTTTAGGGGGGAAGCACTTTTATGTGAATTGATGATTACAAACTATGCATGCTTAAAAATCACAATATTCAATTATTAGAGCATGTGTAATACTCTAATGCTTTAGTAATGATTGTTTGCATGGTTTTTATATTGTAGATACTAGTGAAGGCTATGAAGTCGAAGAAAAAACTGAGTAAGTTGTGTTTCAGTTCTTTTAGGTCACTGGTTAATAGTTTAGTAGTTTTTTTATTAGTGGTCAGTGTTACCTAAAAGCTTTTTAATAATATCAACTCTTATTTGAATATTTAGTAGAAATAATTTATATCAATTTTTTTTATAAATAATTTAGTATATAAATCATTTTAAATTATGTATAGCAATATGTATTAAACTGAATTCAATTCTGTTTAAACTATGTTCACACATTCATTACTTTCATTTTATTGACAATACTGATTTAAGAACTGCAAATAGGTAACTTAGAAATATAATATTTTAAAAAATATTATAACTTTATATTTTATACAAAATGTATGTTAAAATACTGAAATAAGTTTATTGATTTTCCTGTACATGGTTTGTCATTAATGATCATGTTTTAAAAAGTTTTGTACGATTGAATTTTTTTTTATTATTATTTTAATTTACTTTACTATTTGCTCCTAATCATTTGGGCACCTCAGTTCATACTAGATTTTTACTTTTGCTTATTAAAACACATTTTATTAATCTTGTAATAATTTTTATTGTAATTTTTTTCTTGAAAAATATCTTAAAATATGATTATTCTATTTTAGTGGACACCAAATGGAAGAGCTCTGATCAATCTCGTTATCTAACATATGGGGGTCTAGGAATAGCAACAATAATTATTTTCAGAATGAATACAACCATTGCAAGTATTGTTGGAGCATTCATAGCAATTTACATTATGATTGCTGAATATATAATGAATGAACTATATAAATAAGAATATAGAGATACATTTATTTTATTTTCTTCCATTACCTGTATTAAAAATGATATAATTAGTAGTTCTCAATATCTGGTCTATCCTTACTCAACTAAAAAATAATTGTTTCAGCATTGTAATATTGTAGTTTATTTATTAGTTTTAATGTATTTATTTTTAAATTTATGATTAATTATTTTATAATACCAAAAAAACACTGAAATTAATCATAAAAGCCTGACTAATTTATGTAAGCATACAACTTTTTCTCGTTATGTATTTAAAAAATAAATATACTTAAAAATTTTGACCATAGATAAAACACTCAATTGTAAATTAGTATACCTTGATATCTTAATAAAATAAATTAAATGTAATAACTATTCTTTATTTTTTTAAATAAATTACAAATACGCTATCAAGTAATTATGAGATTACTACGTTCAATTTTTTTTTAAATTAAAGATAAAATTATAAAAGTTAAAATTTTTGCCATTTTTTATTAAATATACATTACAGTTCCTTTCCATGTTTTACAACTATTTTAACTAAATGATTGAATTAGAACATTATAGTGTAGAAAATTTAAAATTATATAATAGTGTATTACACATTTTTTGTTTTTATTAACACAGTATTAGTATTCAGTATTTATTTAAATTTTTTTACACAATTACTTTATAATTTTTTGCCAAACTATGATCTTATTATTTTTAAATCATCTAATCAATATAGTATACAATCTTAAACATTTTGATTTAAACCCAAAATGCTCAAAATAAAATAAAATAAAATAAAATAATAGTTTAATTATTTATTTAACTAATACTTATTCAAATATTAAATTATCTCTTCATTATAAATTAAACAGTATATGCTATTGTTTAAACATAAAAATGAACTAGTAATATTTATGTTTCTATTTGTATATATTGTTTTTATTTTTATCTTCAAAATTTTTTTAAATATATATTTTTTCAGAATTTTTTATTAATATTTCCATTGACCTAATGTCTAAAAACTTTTTTTAATATTTATGCTTCAGATAATATTATAAGAATTTTAATTGTTCTATTTTATTATTCAAGATAGCACAGAGAGCAGTTTTTTATAGTTTAAGTATGTATTTAATAATAAATGGCGATACTTATTTTTATCAGAAATGCTACCCAACAATACTAAAATATTATTTTTCTAATAGAAAAAGATAATCCATTTATTAGGTTTGACTTTTAATTTTTATACCTATAATATATTTGCAAACACCATGTTTTCCATTAAAATTATTTATTTAAATTAAATATTTTTAAATTGTGTTTATTTTTTATCATTTCATTTGGCTAATCTATATATTTAAATTAATCAGATAACCTCATTTACTTTGTGATATTTTTTGACCTCAAAGATATAGTATTATATAAAAAAAATTATTTTTTAAGCAAACGAGGCTGACTAGTATTACTTTATATAATTTCTTAAAAAAAAGCTTTAGAATTTGTGATAATCACCTAATCTAGTACATTTTTAAATACACCAATTTTATGAATTGTTTTACCCTATTGTAATTACAATAAAAAAAAATATTTACAAAATTTTACAAATTGTGTATTTATTTAATCCATCACATCCATTTTCCTGTACTAAAAAAAAAAAAAAAAAATAAATAATGTATAGTAGTAGAGCTTAGTTTATTTAGATTTCAATAATCCATAATGAACTTTTACCTTGTAATTTTAATTATAAAAAACATTTAAATTCATATTCATCTGTTTTCTTGGTCCCAATTAGTATGGTTAATTAGAGATTCATTGTATTTAGTTATTTAAAATGTAAATACTTGGATTATGATAATCCATTCCTACTAATTCCAATATTATCAAAGAATGTATTTACAATGCTTGTTTTTCTTTAAGCTTTTAAAGTTATATATTTTTATCAACAATTTAAGTTATAACATGAAACAACATGGATTATGTAAGTAAAATATTTACCAACAGTATAATTGTATTATATTATCAGTTATGTAAAGATTATAAATAACTTTGTATTTTTATTAAGTATGAAATAAATTTATGAAAAAAAATTAATTTTTTTTTAAATTTATTGGTTCTTGACTCATAATATCCTTAGCATTTTAAATGTAATAAAAAATTTATAAAATTATTTGGTGAAATTCTTAAATAGATTTATACCTATACGAACAAATGTTAAAATTGATGATAATAAATAAGACTTACATAGAATGTAACAAATTTCACTTTTTACTTTTTCAAACAATCATTCGTACTTTGCTTATAATATTTATATAAAAGTTTATGGCGTCAATAAAATCAAAAATATTTATGTTTGGTTGAATATGAGAGTAGTTAATTTAAAATTATTTGTATTGGAACAAAAAAAAAATTTAAAAAAATTAAAATATTCTATAATATTTTATAATTGTAGTTATCTATTACAGTTATAACTTATAAGATAATATATTATGATTTAATACATAAAACATTAAAAACCTACAGATGTTAAAAATATGATATTATTCAGTCTAAAATCTGATTAAATATTTACCTGAATATTTATTACTTTATGATATTCTTAAAATTAATATTAACTATCAAATTAAAATTACTAAAATAATATATACAGTCAAAACAAAATATTATTAAATCTTACATATGTTTACTTAATATTTAAAATAAAAAAGATTGGAAAGTGGGTAATGTTCTGGGATTACTCTAATGGATGTATAACATTTTAATTAAATGGTATACTATTAAATATGAAAAACAATCCAGAGTGGAAATGGTATATCAGCCTATTATCACTAATTAAATTAATTCATGTCATGTTTTCTGATAATACACTAGTTAAAATATTTATTTTTTTACTATTAGTAATACACTAAGTTGAAAGATATATTTTGTGTTTAATAAATGTCATTGTGTTAATAAAATATAAAAATATATCTTAGTCTTATTTTTAAACAAAAATAAAATAATAAATATCATTTTACATAATTGAATCATATGATTTTACTATATTTGAACTTAAAATATTTATAAATAAACTTATAATTTTATTTTTATATTTTTTGATTTAGAAAAAATTACTTAGAAGAAATTTCGTTATTAAGCCTTATCCACAAAAATCGGGTATTTCAAACATTTTTAATTACAAACAGATTTGCAGATTTTCATGAATTTTTCAAATTTTGAACTACAAACGCTTATAAAAAAAATTATGCAAATGTGTATCATTCTTACAGATATGTAAAATTATTACATATCTGCAAGAATAATTTATATGAGATCTTGTATACAATTTTCAAGCATTTTTACCCAGTGATTTATTTTTTATCATTATTTTTATAAAAAATCTAAAAAACAACCAAAAATTTAAAATGTTAAAATAAATCAAAAAAGGTAGAAATATTTTAAAAACGTTATCATGTATAGAAATTGATCATATTATAAGCATTTGATGAATATTTCAAGTACCTAAGTTATTTTTAAATCACAACAAATTATTAAAAATCATTTGAAGAGAAATAGATATTTTACAGATAAATATGCAATGTTGTACAAATTTAAATTTCAAAAACTGATAAAAAATTAATATTTCTCTTTTTGGTAGATTTTTTGTATTAATTTAGATTGAATTTTCAAATCTTGAATAAAAAAAATAATTTAAAATTTTTAGACTTTAAATTTTACCAAAATTTAATCATTTGTAAAAATATTCTCACTATTTATTTTAATTTTAATTTAATAAGCATTAAAACTTAAGGAACCTTGTACTAAATTTATAAGCTAGAATTTGTTTTAAATTACATCCATTAAACATTAAACAAAATCATTTCTTTCAAAAACTGGTTATATAAAATTTTTTTAGTTTTTACTTAATTTTTTGTTCGTTTCTATAAAAAATAAATATTGTGTGAAAATAATTTTATTATGAATACTAGTTACTTACCTATTTTACCTTATCATAACTAATTAATTTAAATTAAAACAATGATAATAAATATTGTTTAATATTCTGTGAATATATGTAATTTAATTAAATACATTTAATAGTCATACATTGATGTAATATTTTAACATTATATTAGTTATTATTATAAATACAATAATAAAATATCTTTTGTGAAAATGGTTGACCATGATTCTATATCCTTTGAAAAATGCACAAAGATTAAAGTTATCTGGAATTTCAGATAACTAGATTAAATAAATTTAAATAAATTGTTGATGTACTTAACAGTTATTTTTTTAAATTGGTAATTATATTATTTTTAATGAATTTGAATTGAATTGTTAGCAAAACATTATTTTTAAATGCTGTTTTTATATAATTTACACTAATTTATAATAAAATATATAGGTATAAAAATAAAAGTACAAATATTTAAAAAAAATGTAAATTATTTATTCTTAAGAGATTTTTGCCATTCATATACATGTTAAGTTTAATTAAATATAATAATAAATCAAATATTCGGTATTTAATATCCCACTTTTCCCAATTTTGTATCTGTTTTTGGATCAGATGTAACTTCTTGCATAGCAACTATACATTCGTTAATACATGTTTGAAGATCACGTAACCTATGCAACTGTGCTAACCTCAAGACCTTCATTGCATGTAAAACTGCTGTATCTTTGGACTCAATTTTATAACTTTTTACTTTTTCTAAGGGAAAAGCTTCTCCCTGTTTAAATAAACATTATATTATAAAATATATCTATTATACATACGCAATAAGTTAATGTACCTTAGGTAATACTGTTGATGGATTTTTTATTGCTTCTTCATTAAGCCTTTTAATAATAAATTTATGAATAGCTTCTAATGTAATTTTGTGATCTGGATGTTTTGAAATATTTAATAAATCCGCAAGTTTCTCAATGCCTTCCTTGAAATCATTACTGTTAACTAAAAATAATTTAAACTTAATATGCTGAGAACTATAATATGATTCATTTTAAAAATTGACTGGATTTATAGCTCTTAAAACTACTGAGAAGTAGAAACAATTCTGATCATTACAACTTAACAATAAACGACTTAAAATGACATAAAAAAAGAGTTGTTAATAATTAAGTTGCTTTGTTTAAGACACAAAATGTCTTTTATTAAGTACATAATAATTGTGTTTAAAAAAATACTTTTAACAATAATATATTATTAATTTATTTTTGTTCAATAAAAATGTCTGTATTATATAAAACTGGTCATTATAACATATAATTACTTTAAATTTGTATATTTGATAAAATAATGATTTAAGTGGATTATTTGTTTTCTTTCTTGGGCCTATTTAGGACCAACCTTATATTATTAGTATTAGAGTGAATTGACTTATTATCAACTTTAAATTTAAGTATATTATCTTTGTTCTTCTTATGGTATTTTTATGATGTTTCAATTTGTATGTGATTTATGATCATATAAATATTATCAAAAAAAAATTAACTTTAAAATTGAGGTATTTAAAAATGCTAATTTAAGAACACAATCAATGTTTTTAACTTTACATTTTATAATAGGCCGATTCACTCTAATACTAAAGATAACCACATAAGATCATTTGCAATGTTTAGTGTGGGTCAAGATAGAAAATAAATTGTTTGGTAATATTTTCTTAGTACCACTATTTTTAGTTGTTTAATAATAATCATAAAAACTATAATAAGATTAATTTAAGATTATTATTATTTTATAAATTAATATTGTTATATAAAGTAGTACTTATATAAAATAATTACCATCAAGATTGTCGATTGGATTATCAGATGGTATTATCATTGGAACATCACTAGAAACTTCAAGTGTTTTTTTTGTTTCAGACTCAAATTTATTTTCTAAAAAAAATTACGAACAGAAATATTTAATTTGTTAGAATATTAAACAATTTATATTATTATAAATATAAAGTTTGTATTTACTTTGTTTATTGTATGTTAATCGAATTGCCACTCCTAATAACCATTCCAACTGATCTATATCTTCAGTTGTTTTAATTGGACTAGAACATGATACACAATAGTTTTTAAATGCTATGTCCCAAGAAGGAGAATCAATATTTCGTAACTCTGTTCGTTTTTCTGGAATATAAGTTTGTAATATGTTTTCCTCTAACCACAAAACTAACATCCGGAAATTTCTTTGATCTAAATTAAGTAATAAATAAAATTATAATTAGTAATTTTTAATATCTCATCAATTCAACATTTTGATATTAGCCTACAATTATTTGCTTCATTTAAATTATTTACTTTAATTTTTTTCAGTGGTATAAAGCCATAATTAAGTTATACTTCATTTTTTTTTTTTTTTTTTTTTAATTCATGTTCTAAGGTAATATCTGTCTGGATAATTTTAAAAACAAATATTGAACAAATAGTATATATTTTAGAAGCATTGTATATACAATAAAACCTCTCTATAATGAACCCTCTATTAGATGGATTCCTCTTTATAATGAAAAATGTCAATAGTCCTAGTTCAAATAATAGATGAAATTGACCTATCTAAGATAGAACTTTCACAAAACGGAAATGAACCATTTTCTTGACTCAAATAGCAAAAATACTCTTTATAAGATAGAAAATAAAATAATTTTAAAGATAAAAAACATTAAATTTTATCATTATCTGAAATATCGCTCAATGGTAAAGCTTCAAGATTTTCATATTGACTTATTTATTACTTTCTAATAAGCTTATAGACATATAGTAGGTATAGTAACAATTAGATGTATTTGATAGTAAATTAGAGATGCACCAAACTTACGATTCGGTGGCTTCTTAAGAAGAGAAATTTCAAATCATAGAAAATTATGATGATATAATAATGACAGCAAGATCAGCAATGAGCAAAAAAAAAAAAAAAGATTTTAAAATTGTAATCTCATATTTAGAAGAATTCCAAAAGTTTTCAGGTACAATTTCAAATTCAAATCTATTAGAAATTAACATAAAAAGCACAAAAATGTGCTGAACGTGCTGCTTAATTACAAAAAGCAGTTAAGTATTATAAACTATTTTTCTTAATTATAAAAATAAAATAAAATGTATCTAATAAATTTTTTTAATTCTTAGTTTTAATTTTTTAGCATATATTATTTATTATATATAATTGTAATCTTTAAGTATAAATTTACGTCGTAAGTATTAATTACCTAAAACAGCGGTTCTCAAACTTTTTTCCGCGGTGCCCTTTTAGGGGCACCATGTTAGCCACGGTGCCCTGCTGTATATAACATGAAAGATAAAACAAAAAAAGTACTCATTGAGAACCAATGAAACATAGAACATGGTGCTCCTAGAAAGTGCTCGCGGTACCCCTAGGGCACTGCGGTGCACAGTTTGGGAACCGCTGACCTAAAATATAATTTTTTTAACACATATGTGCATTCTTAAAACTTGATTTTTATTTTTTACTTTTCTATAACGGAAAACTCTTTAAAACAAAAAAAATTGTTGGTCCCAAGTGAGTTCATTATAAAGAAATTTTACTGTAACAATATATTGTACTAAACCATTATATGATAAAATCACTAACATTTAAATAAAAAAAAAAATCTTAAAATAATAAAAATGTTAACACATTTAAAAAAATACTAATACTTTCATGGAAATTTTCTGAAATAAAAATTACAAGTTATATTAAAATTGTGAAATAAGTTTTACTATAAAACATTTATAACTTAACCTTATTGTTAATTAATCTAAAGAAAATCTTAAATTTTTGTTTAAAGTTTAAGAACATTAATTTGACATTTGAATTTAATAATAAAAATTACTTAAAAATACACCTAATGGTTAACAAAAATTTCACATGCAATTATGCAATGATATGATATATATAACAAATCTAATGAAAATAATAACTTGTATTATCAGAAAATAAATAATTAATACAAGCATAAAGTACTAATATGCAAGAGTTTACCATTTGCATCAAACACTGTAGCCAATGGATAATCTACGGCTTTCAACTTATTGATAGACATTTCAAATCAGGGTTTAGTAAATTTAACACTATATGATTATAAACACGAAAATAATTTTAAAGTAAAAATCTGTTAATAGCCAATATTAAAACAATAAACTTCACCAGTAGTATTTATTATTTATTAGCTTAAGCTGATTTTGGTCATGACAAGTGATAATATTCTATCATGATTACAATATATACTAGTGTGTGTTATATATTGTAACATTTGTGCAAAGTTCAAGCAATATTATCAGAAACATAACAAAACGCCTCCATTTTGGAGGCCAACAATATTGTAGATAATAAATAGTAATTGGTTAATTAGCAGTACATATAATATAAAAACAATTAAATCAAATAGTAATACTAATTTAAAAAAAATATTCATGACTTTTTTTTTATAAATCATTTATTTATTATTTATTATGAGACTATTGTATATATAAAATAAGTCGCTAAAGCAGTGTTTCCCAAAGGGCGTGTCCCGAAAAATTGAACTTAATATACATATATAAACCATTTTTATTTGGAAAGTAGATAACATTTAATATTTACCTAAAGTGTGCCGTGATTTATAATAACTTCTTAATGTGTCGCGATGAAAAAAAGTTTGGGAACCACTGCGGCCTATAGGATAAATAAAAGTATAAAAAACTGTAATTTATAAGTTAATTACAATTTTAACATATACAAATTATAAATTATAATTTAAAAAATAAAAGTTTGTACGTTGGTCAAAATCTGATTGTTTTATCAATTCCTACGTGAACATTTTGATCATTAAAAATTATTAAATTAAATAATTAATTTTATTATATTCATAGAAGCTTTCATAACTTTATAATTATACATTTATACATAATTATTAATTAGTATGATCTACAATTCATTGGACTAATCGCTTAGAATAAGGGGTTACATAATATTATGCAGCGCTGGATTGGGAAGAAATTACTTACCCGGCTGTCTACCTAGACCGACCCAAGTTCCTAAACAATTTTTTCTTAACCTATCAAATTGTATTAGTATATAACAAGATTTAATTTATAAACCCTTAATATAAATACAAGCACTACTATTTCTTTCTCTAATTTTAAATCAAACATTTAAACATTAGGTATTATATTTTTTTATTAGCTTATAGCTGTCATTATATCAAGATAACGATTTTCATCATAGATTACATATTTACATTTTAGAATCACATTTTTGTCTTTTGATGTAAAATAAACTATGGATAAGATATTTGCACTGATTCAAAATATCATCAAACCGGCCCAAATCTTTCGAATTTCTAACGGCCCACCGGGTTTTGCCCAATAGCCCGCCGGCTCAATTCGGGCCTGATAATATGTAAAGACTCCAACGGGAACCCATACCAAGTACATTAATAGCTTTTAACTTTTAAATTATAGAGTATAAAACATTTAAAAAACAAAAATGTTCTATGCATGTGAAGTGTCAATTAAACTTCCTATTTGCTTAATAGGTAGTTACAAGAAGAATAGTTGAGAACCTTATAACTATTTAAAGATTATATTATTGATGGTTTTTTTAAATAATTAAAAAGCTAAATTTTATTATAAATTATTAAAATAGTAATAGTGCTAAAATATTGTAATAATATTTTTATACAACGATTTAAATGAAAAATATTTTAGATTTTGAGCGCTAAGCAGGGCGATAAATATATTAATTTTACAATTATGTTTTTTTGTGAGTTGATGCGATACGTAGGTAGGTACCTTTTTTATTGAAATTATTTGTAGCTAGTAGGTACATATTTTGTTGATTACCTTATGAGTTATGACACTACTAAGCTAAGTAGATCAAGAAAATTATGGTAGATTGTTCACGACACCTCTATTAAAATTTTATCTAAACAGTACTTATACCATGATCATAATGTTAAGTAAGTAATTAATATAATTTTAATAAATAATATAGAAGAATGTGTACTTGACAAAAATTACTCGTGAATAAAAAATAGTTTTCATGGTTTTTGTCAACCTATATTTTAAAAAAGAAGCTTATTAGAATTAAATTCAATCAACTAATTGAGTTTTATTTTTATATTGCTCTATGATGCTAGTGTCCTTAAGATTCCGTCGGGGATTACGAGATAGAGAACTGAAAAACGAAATTGTACTATTTAAAATGGCACAAAGGTCACCTACGTAGTTTAGTTGGAATTTTATTGTTAATTGTTATCATTTGGTGTATCAGTCTATCTCTATAGCATTTATTATTGTCGAGCCGTTTTGGTGAACTTAAAAATCGTGGCAGCGGCACTACTGACTACTGAAGGACGAAGGCCAACAGATGTTGTCGGAACATTAAAATATTACTAACATTTATAAATTATAATACATTACCTACATTACATAATTGTACCTACATTATATAATACAATATGCTACAGGATTAAATATTATACATTTATAAATTGAAGAAGATCTTAAGCTGAAATATTATGGTTTTCCATTTTGTACCTCCACACCATCATCGCTTATATTACCATTACCATAACCATAATACCTAAATAATATTAATGCGCATCATTCTGGTTTTTTGTCTTATGTATGATAAAGAACATTAATTGTTATCAATAAATGTGTACGTAGTTGTAGTCGGAACAGATATTATGTATATGTTTTACTTGCGAACGTCGGCGGCATGACCTCATGACAAGCACGTTGATTTGTTTTTTTTTTCGTTTTTTTCTCATTTTGCGTTTCTCGATATTTTATTTGCTCTTGTAGTGTCTAAACGAATTTCTTATCGCAGTCTCGTCAGTCTTCAAACAACAGTCATTTGTCGGTCGCAGCTATAATATTCTCGATTATTATCTTGTCTGAAGTGTCTACTGCCGTATACGATGTGCTCGCGTCGTCAATAACAATAACATTATTTAACGCAATCGTCGTCATCGTCATAATTCTTATTATTATTGTTATTACTTTTGTATCGTCGTGTGGTAGTATTAGTAGTAGCAGCAGCAGTTGGTCGTATAGAATTTAAGCTGAAGTCGAATATTTGCGAATACACTTTTTTGTTGTATGCACTTACTTGTTTAGAAGTAAAAATATTATATTGCTATCGATTTCAACGTGACCAGAAGAAATTTCGAAGCTATGATTTTTCCGCGTATTACGGTGACCTGAAATACATCAACAATGGATAAGAACGTCGTGTCCGAAGATGACATCAGCTCATTGATTGGACATTTTGCAAAGGAGACGTTCAAATGTACCAACAATGATTCATTCGTAAGTACATAAACTACTTACATTATTTATTTATTCTCATAGTATTGTTACACATAAGCTGTTCTTTTGTATTCACAATTATAGTTATTTTGACAATCCAAAGACAAAAACATCAGTTCAATATAATCTTCATCGTAATAAATTTTGTTTATTGGATGCTTGCCAAGCCACATTAAGGAAAAACATATACATCATTGCCCTTTTTGATCTTTGTCTTAATCACATCATAATAATATAATATTTGTTTTTGCCAACATTAGTATATCTAAAAAATGTCTACCCAAGTACTTAATGTTTCATTTGATTTATTTTAATAAACAATTTAACCAAAATATTTCATCTTGAAACACATTAAATCAATTTTGTCTAGCTAGCCTTAGTACGACCTTTAATATGACCTGATATTAAACATTAGCCAATACTGATACATATTTTTATCATTGTTTGTGTAGGCAATTTTATTTTTTAATAACTTGATTGCATATTATATGATAAATAATATTTAATTACTATCAACAATATTTTATTTCTAACTTAATTCATCAAGTTTTATTATGCTAGATAATTAAGAAATGTAATTTCATTAAAAAAATTATAAAATAATGCAGTTACTAGTTTTTTAAATTTATTTATATACTTAATTAAATATTAATTTTCTAATTTAAAATATTATATAAATAATTAAATTTATCATCTTATTGTGTAACTACCATATGTATTTACAAAGAGTTTCAAGAGTTTCTTATCTATAGTATTTTAATAATGCCCATTGTGATGAAGATTTTATAAATTGATTTTATTGTTTTTAAATATTTACTTAATTTTTTAGGGTTTTGATGTTATGGAAAAATGTTTAAATCTATTACGACTGGACTACAAATTTATGGTAAGATAAATTCATTATATTTAAAATAATAAATGTATTAAATTTAGTTACATGTCATATTCCTATACATTAATATGTTACCTATTTATTAAGATATAACTTGTAAAATAAAAAGTTAAAATTAATAAAATTTATTAGTGTCTTAAAATTATAAAATAACAAACTAAAAAATTGTAATTAATTGCAACAACATTTTTAGGCATACAACATTTTATATGTGTTGTATAGGTATGGTAATATATTATTTTAGTTATTTAATGAAATAATTTGATAATCTGATGCTGAATTAGATTTATTAATGATCATAAAAATTAAGAACTCAGGTTGGTATATATTGCTTGTTGATTACTGGACTCAATTATTTGAATGCAAAATTAGTTAAAGTTAATTTGCTTATGCAATTGAGTTAATAATAGAATATAATATTTAAAATTTCTTGATAATCTTAAAATACATTTTTTAGATCTTCATAGACCTTATAATAATATACAGCAAATGATAGAGTCTCTTGAAAAAATATATTGGTGTTTTGATTGGATATTATTGCATCACATAGCACATGCAATATTATAATATATTTTCACAAAATAGTATTTGTATATCTGGTGTCAATGATGGGTTGCATCAAATGCTATGTTTTATTGAAGTTAAGAATATATGTGAAGAAGGTTGTGTGTAAGATTTATAGTTTTATAATAAAACAAATAAATACAATAATTAATAAAACAAGATGGTTTAAAAAAAAAAAAAAAAAAGAAGCATGTATAAATAAGTAGGTGGTTTATAATTGTGAGTTCACAATACCATGCAATGAGCTTGGATACAAAATAACAATCACTGTGATGCATGAAACACATACTGATTTTTAATTCTTTGTACAGTCAAGAATCTAAATAAAATGAAATTCTTAAGCGTTCAATTACTGATAGCAATAATATTTATTAACCAACAAAGACAGTTATTCAGTTGACATAATTTATATTCGAAAATATTTTGAGACCAGTTCAATGT